TCACAGTACCACTCACTCACAGTACCACTCACTCACAGTCTCACTCACACACAGTCTCACTCACACACAGTCTCACTCACACACAGTACCACTCACACACAGTACCACTCACACACAGTCTCACTCACTCACAGTACCACTCACTTACAGTCTCACTCACACACAGTCTCACTCACACACAGTCTCACTCACAGTACCACTCACAGTCTCACTCACTCACAGTCTCACTCACAGTACCACTCACACACAGTACCACTCACACACAGTCTCACTCACACACAGTCTCACTCACAGTACCACTCACTCACAGTACCACTCACACACAGTCTCACTCACACACAGTCTTACTCACTCACAGTCTCACTCACACACAGTCTCACTCACAGTACCACTCACTCACAGTACCACTCACACACAGTCTCACTCACAGTACCACTCACACACAGTCTCACTCACAGTCTCACTCACAGTACCACTCACTCACAGTACCACTCACACACAGTCTCACTCACACACAGTCTCACTCACTCACAGTACCACTCACACACAGTCTCACTCACTTACAGTCCCACTCACACACAGTCTCACTCACAGTACCACTCACACACAGTCTCACTCACACACAGTCTCACTCACAGTACCACTCACAAACAGTCCCACTCACTCACAGTCTCACTCACAGTACCACTCACACACAGTCTTACTCACTCACAGTACCACTCACACACAGTCTCACTCACAGTACCACTCACTCACAGTCTCACTCACACACAGTACCACTCACACACAGTACCACTCACAGTACCACTCACTCACAGTCTCACACACAGTCCCACTCACACACAGTCTCACTCACTCACAGTACCACTCACACACAGTCTCACTCACACACAGTCTCACTCACAGTACCACTCACAGTCTCACTCACAGTACCACTCACACACAGTCTCACTCACAGTACCACTCACTCACAGTACCACTCACACACAGTCTCACACACAGTACCACTCACTCACAGTATCACTCACACACAGTCCCACTCACACACAGTCTCACTCACTCACAGTCTCACTCACAGTCTCACTCACAGTCTCACTCACACACAGTCTCACTCACACACAGTCTCACTCACAGTCTCACTCACTCACAGTCTCACTCACAGTACCACTCACACACAGTACCACTCACTCACAGTACCACTCACACACAGTACCACTCACTCACAGTACCACTCACACACAGTCTCACTCACAGTCTCACTCACAGTACCACTCACTCACAGTACCACTCACACACAGTCTCACTCACTCACAGTACCACTCACACACAGTCTCACTCACACACAGTCTCACTCACACACAGTACCACTCACTCACAGTACCACTCACACACAGTCTCACTCACACACAGTCTCACTCACACACAGTATCACTCACACACAGTCTCACTCACTCACAGTCCCACTCACTCACAGTACCACTCACTCACAGTCTCACTCACAGTACCACTCACTCACAGTACCACTCACACACAGTCCCACTCACTCACAGTACCACTCACACACAGTCTCACTCACACACAGTCCCACTCACACACAGTCTCACTCACAGTACCACTCACACACAGTCTCACTCACAGTCTCACTCACAGTAACACTCACTCACAGTACCACTCACACACAGTACCACTCACACACAGTCTCACTCACACACAGTACCACTCACAGTACCACTCACACAGTACCACTCACACACAGTCTCACTCACTCACAGTACCACTCACACACAGTCTCACTCACACACAGTCTCACTCACTCACAGTACCACTCACTCACAGTCTCACTCACACACAGTCTCACTCACACACAGTCTCACTCACAGTACCACTCACACACAGTACCACTCACACACAGTCTCACTCACACACAGTCTCACTCACAGTACCACTCACTCACAGTACCAATCACTCACAGTACCACTCACACACAGTCTCACTCACACACAGTACCACTCACTCACAGTACCACTCACACACAGTACCACTCACTCACAGTACCACTCATACACAGTCTCACACACAGTCTCACTCACACACAATCAGAACGCTCGGCTCCTCTCTCACCCGTGCGGGGTCGGCGTCGCCGGCGGGTATCCCAGAAGCCCTCAGCACGTCTCACTCACTCACAGTACCACTCACACACAGTATCACTCACTCACAGTCTCACTCACTCACAGTATTACTCACTCACAGTCTCACTCACAGTACCACTCACACACAGTCTCACTCACTCACAGTCTCACTCACTCACAGTATCACTCACACACAGTCTCACTCACACACAGTCTCACTCACAGTCTCACTCACACACAGTCTCACTCACACACAGTCTCACACACAGTCTCACTCACAGTCTCACTCACACACAGTCTCACTCACAGTCTCACACACAGTCTCACTCACACACAGTCTCACTCACACACAGTCTCACTCACAGTACCACTCACTCACAGTCACACTCACTCACAGTCTCACTCACTCACAGTCTCACTCACAGTACCACTCACACACAGTCTCACTCACACACAGTCTCACTCACAGTCTCACTCACACACAGTCTCACTCACACACAGTCTCACTCACACACAGTCTCACTCACACACAGTACCACTCACACACAGTCTCACTCACACACAGTCTCACTCACTCACAGTACCACTCACACACAGTACCACTCACACACAGTCTCACTCACTCACAGTACCACTCACACACAGTACCACTCACACACAGTACCACTCACTCACAGTACCACTCACACACAGTACCACTCACACACAGTACCACTCACACACAGTCTCACTCACACACAGTCTCACTCACAGTACCACTCACTCACAGTACCACTCACTCACAGTACCACTCACTCACAGTACCACTCACACACAGTACCACTCACTCACAGTACCACTCACACACAGTACCACTCACTCAGTCTTACTCACTCACAGTACCACTCACACACAGTCTCACTCACAGTCTCACTCACTCACAGTACCACTCACACACAGTCTCACTCACACACAGTACCACTCACACACAGTCTCACTCACAGTCTCACTCACACACAGTCTCACTCACACACAGTCTCACTCACACACAGTCTCACTCACACACAGTACCACTCACACACAGTCTCACTCACAGTCTCACTCACACACAGTCTCACACACACAGTCTCACTCACAGTCTCACTCACACACAGTCTCACTCACACACAGTCTCACTCACAGTCTCACTCACTCACAGTACCACTCACACACAGTCTCACTCACACACAGTACCACTCACACACAGTCTCACTCACTCACAGTCTCACTCACACACAGTCTCACTCACACACAGTCTCACTCACAGTCTCACTCACACACACCCGCGCGGGGTCGGCGTCGCCGGCGGGTATCCCAGAAGCCCTCAGCACGTCTCACTCACTCACAGTACCACTCACACACAGTCTCACTCACACACAGTACCACTCACACACAGTCTCACTCACTCACAGTACCACTCACACACAGTACCACTCACACACAGTACCACTCACACACAGTCTCACTCACTCACAGTCTCACTCACAGTCTCACTCACACACAGTCTCACTCACTCACAGTACCACTCACACACAGTCTCACTCACACACAGTCTCACTCACAGTCTCACTCACACACAGTACCACTCACACACAATCTCACACACAGTCCCACTCACACACACCCGTGCTGGGTCGGCGTCGCCGGCGGGTATCCCAGAAGCCCTCAGCACGTCTCACTCACACACAGTCTCACACACAGTCTCACTCACACACAGTCTCACTCACAGTCTCACTCACACACAGTCTCACTCACACTCTCACTCACACACAGTCTCACACACAGTCCCACTCACACACACCCGCGCTGGGTCGGCGTCGCCGGCGGGTATCCCAGAAGCCCTCAGCACGTCTCACTCACACACAGTCTCACACACAGTCTCACTCACACACAGTCTCACTCACAGTCTCACTCACACACAGTCTCACTCACACTCTCACTCACACACAGTCTCACACACAGTCCCACTCACACACACCCGCGCTGGGTCGGCGTCGCCGGCGGGTATCCCAGAAGCCCTCAGCACGTCTCACTCACTCACAGTATCACTCACACACAGTACCACTCACACACAGTCTCACTCACTCACAGTCTCACTCACACACAGTCTCACTCACACACAGTCTCACTCACACACAGTACCACTCACACACAGTACCACTCACACACAGTCTAACTCACAGTCTCACTCACACACAGTCTCACTCTCACTCACACACAGTCTCACTCACACACAGTCTCACACACAGTACCACACACAGTCTCACTCACACACACCCGCGCTGGGTCGGCGTCGCCGGCGGGTATCCCAGAAGCCCTCAGCACGTCAGCCGCCCTCTCCGGCTTCAGGAGGCCCAGCGCCTCCGGCTCCGAGGCCACGGCGTTGCCCAGCAGGCGGCAGCTGTCTCCCACAATGCCGTGCTGCCGGCTCAGCAGGCGGCAGTCGCCACGGACGCACGCCGAGCGGCCACTCTCCTCTGCGGGCGGGGAGGAGGGGGCGGAGGGGTGGGCGGTGACGTCAGCGTCGTCAGCGTCGTCATCGTCAGTGTCGTCATCGTCATCATCAGCATCGTCAGTGTCGTCATCGCCGTCATCATCGTCAGCATCGTCATCGTCGTCAGCGTCGTCATCGTCAGCGTCGTCATCGTCAGCGTCGTCAGCGTCATCGTCAGTGTCCTCATCGTCATCGTCAGTGGCGCCAGCGTCGTCAGCATCGTCAGCGTCATCGTCATCGTCATCATCATCGTCAGCGTCATCGTCAGCATCGTCAGCGTCGTCAGCGTCGGGGGAGTCGTCAGAGTCAGGATCGGCAGTGGCGTCATCAGCAGCAGAAGCATCATTAGTAGAAATACCCTAACCCACCCACCAACCCACCCACCAACCCACCAACCAACCCACAAACCCAACCACCCACCCACCCACCAACCCACCCACCCACCAACCCACCAACCAACCCACCCACCAACCAACCCACCCACCAACGCACCCACCCACCAACCAACCCACCAACCCACCCACCAACCCACCCACCAACCCACCAACCCACCCAACAACCAACCAACCCACCCACCAACCCACCAACCCACCCACCAACCCACACACTCACCAATCAACCAACCCACCCACCGACCACCATCCAATCCACCACCAACCAACCACCCACCCACCAACCAACCACCCACCCACCCACCCACCAACCAACCCACCAACCAACCCACCCACCCACAAACCAACCCACCCACCAATCAACCAACCCACCCACCAACCCACCCACCAACCCACCAACCAACCAACCAACCCACCCACCAACCAACCCACCCACCCACCAACCAACCCACCCACCAACCAACCAATCAACCAACCCACCCACCAACCCACCAACCAATCAACCAACCCACCCACCAACCCACCCACCAACCAACCCACCCACCCACCAACCCACCCACCCAGTAGCCGCAGGGTGTTAGCGAGTAACTTGAGGCTGTCGCCTCTGCTGCTGCTGGTGTTGGTGTTGTTGGTGCGCCTGCTCTTGCCGTGTGCCCCCAGGGAGTAGGAGTGGGACCAGGCCACCAGCCACTCGGGCCTCTGACGGGCCAGCGAGTGGCTCGCCTTGAGCACGGAGTCCGCCACGGCAGAGTTGCCCTGCACGTGGCACGCACGCAGTGACACACACAGTGACACACACACAGTGACACACACAGTGACACACACACACAGTGACACACACACACAGTGACACACACACACAGTGACACACACACACAGTGACACACACACACAGTGACACACACACACAGTGACACACACACAGTGACACACAGACACACAGTGACACACACACACACACGCAGTGACACACACACACACGCAGTGACACACACACACACACGCAGTGACACACACACACACACACAGTGACACACACACACAGTGACACACACACACACAGTGACACACACACACACAGTGACACACACACACACAGTGACACACACACACAGTGACACACACACACAGTGTACACACACACAGTGACACACACACACACAGTGACACACACACAGTGACACACACACAGTGACACACACACACACAGTGACACACACACACACAGTGACACACACACAGTGACACACACACAGTGACACACACACACAGTGACACACACACACACAGTGACACACACACAGTGACACACACACAGTGACACACACACACAGTGACACACACACAGTGACACAACAACAACAACAACCGCCATTCGCCACTAAGTGGCGGTGACGTCACCACGACGCTTGTGCCAGGCTATGTGCACCCTGAGGCCACGTGAAGTGTCGAACGCCCGCTGGCAGGAGGTCACGGGGCAGACCCAGGTGCCACGGGTCAACTGACTGAGATGACTGGCTGATGCACCACCTGTGCCCCCTACTGTGCCAACCTGCTGTGCTTTAGCCACCCGGCGCTCCGCTCGCTGTTGTGAGCGTCGCTCCTCCGCCCTCCGTTGTTGTTGGAGGGCGACTGCCTCCAACTGCCCAGTAGCATCCTTCACGAGCCTCCTCCACAGAGGCCGATCTTGACACCGCTGGTACCAGTCATCGGCAAGTCCACTCAGCTCCACGTCCTCCTGTACCACATCACTCCATCTCTTCTCTAGCCCGTGCCGCGCCCGCTTAGCCCCCTCAATCCGGCCAAACAAAAGCTGTTTCGGCATGCGGTGGCTGGGCATGCGGGCTACATGACCCAGCCATCGCAGCCTTGCCTGCCGGAGGAGCTCACCGATGGGACCCTGCCCAGATCTTTCAAGGATTTGTGAGCTCCTCACACAATCCAGTCTGGTTAAACCCAGGATGGATCGTAGGCAGGCCAGCCTAAATGTTTCCAACCGGCGAAGATGTTCCATTAGGGGGGTCCACGTTTCGCAAGCGTAGAGAAGGGAGGGAATGACCGTGGCCGAGAAGACCTGAAGCTTAGTGCGGAGCGACAGACCAGGTAGCTTCCACACAGCGTTACGCAACCGATGAAAAGATATTGCCGCTCGACTGATTCGGAGTGAGACCTCTGCTGTTAAACTGGAGCCAGTCATAAGCACACTGCCCAGGTATGGGAAACTCTCCACTCTCTCCACAACTGCCCCATCACCGATTGGGAGTTGTGGGGGTGGAGTGTCCGATGGTACAAAATACCCAGGCAGGTGGGGCTGATGGTAAGGCCCCACCTCTTAGTGGCACGCTCTAGTCTCAGCAGCAGCGTCTCCAACTCCTCCTCTGACTGAGCAGCTATTACCAAGTCATCAGCATACATAACGTGGTTGAGCAATAGGGAGCCATCCCTTGACCGCACCCGGGCATCGATTAGCCTCCCATTATATCTGTACCATATGGAGATTCCCCCGGTACAGCTATTGAAGGCTTCACGAACCACGTGGTCAAAATAGATGTTAAATAATGTGGGAGCCAGAGGACATCCCTGTCGCACCCCAAGGTGTACAGGGAATGGCTCTGACTCCCGGCCACGTAGTTTTACCCGGGCCCGCTCACCATCATGAAGGTCCTTAATGATCGTGAGCAGAGGGTCAGGTACTCCAAAAGAACGAAGAACGACCCAGAGCCCAGGCCTACTGATGGTATCATAGGCCTTGACCAGGTCAATAAAGCAGAGATGTAGGTCTTGTTGGAATTCCCTACACCTCTGCTGTAGCAGACGGACAGAAAATATGGCATCTGTGCAGGACCGCCCTTTCCTGAAACCGCATTGGGGCTCCGCAAGCCTCTCCTCAGCGTGCCTGGCAAGGCGATGCTGAATAATCCTTGCCAGGACCTTTCCCGGCACACTGAGGAGTGAGATGCCCCTGTAGTTGTTACAGTCTGTGCGGTCCCCCTTCTTAAAAAGGGGGACCACCAGGGCATCCTTCCAATCCTGCGGAACCCGTCCAGTGGTCCAGACTGTTGTTATGATGTCATATAGGGCAGTCTGTGCACAAACGCCACCCTCCCTCAGCATTTCGCTTGGGAGATCATCTCTGCCCGCTGCCTTTCCTGGTCTCAGACTCCGGATCGCCTTCAATACTTCCTCAGCAGATGGCACCTCAGCCAGCCACTCACAAGGGGTGACTTCATCCAATATTTGAGGCACCGCAGCCTCAGCAGGGTCATCCTCACTTTGTGCCACGATGTTTTCCTGGCTGAGGAATTTTCCCTCCCCCAGGACCTCACAGAAATGCTCAGCAAATCTGCGAACCTGTTCCTGGGGGTCGGAAATTGGATCACCGTTTTTTCCCCTAATGATGGTAATAGGTGTGGCGCTGCAGGTTACTTTTTTGATGGAGTTAAATAGAGATTTGTGATCACGGGCCACTGAGGCAGACTCCATCTCCTCAGCAACCCGCGACCACCACCCATCCTTGCAGCGCCTCACAGCTCTCCGAACCTCCGAGCGAAGGCTGCGGTAAGCCTCCTCATTCTCTGACGTGGGATTCTGTAGCCGATGACAGTGGGCCTGTCGCTTTTTCTCAACCATCCTGAACAACTCCTCTGTCATCCAGGGTGTCTGGGGAGGTCTGGACCGCGTACCCAAAGCAGCCATTGCAGCTGCATGAGTCACAGTCCTAAACCTCGCCCATTTACCCTCGACATCAGGAGGAGTCGGGGACGATGCCAATCCCAGCCGCAAGCGTTGATGAAATTCTCGCTTGCAACTTTCATCAGATAACTGAGACCAGGCCACTTTAGGTTGGAATGGGGTCCTGGGTGTACACCCACCACCGGAGTGGAAGAATGGCAGGCGCATCTTACAGATGACTAGTCGATGGTCAGAGGGCAGATCAGCTCCACGGTAGGTCCTGGTGTCAAGGACATGAGCTCGCATTCGCTGGTCCGTCACTATGTAGTCCAGCAGATGTTCTTGCTTGGACCCGGCATGCATCCATGATGTTGTGTGGATGCGCCGATGCCGGAATAGCGTGTTGGTAATTACAAGCCCATGGGCTGCACAAAAATCTAGCAGCCTCCTACCGTTGTTATTGAGCTGATCTGGCCCATGCCCTCCAATCACTCCAGACCAGGTGCCAGTATCATGACCAACTCGGGCATTGAAGTCACCCAACATGATGACTCTATCCCGAGGGGCCACTTTAGCCAGCACCTGTGACAGGAGGTCATAGAAGGCATCTGACTCATCGGCTTTGCCTGCATCCCTCCACGGATGTTCATCTTCGGTGGGGGCATAAGTAACCACGACCACCATTCCTCGCCTCCGGTTGATGGGAAGGCGAGCCCAAAGTAGCCTGGGGCTTACAGCTTCCCACACCTCACCGCCACGCTCCCACGCCCCCTTCATTCTTTTGTTCAAAAGAAGACCCACACCCTGTTGTTTGGCAGTCTGCTGCCCCGAGTAGAGGACTGTCCATGTTCATCTTCGGTGGGGGCATAAGTAACCACGACCACCATTCCTCGCCGCCGGTTGATGGGAAGGCGAGCCCAAAGTAGCCTGGGGCTTACAGCTTCCCACACCTCACCGCCACGCTCCCACGCCCCCTTCATTCTTTTGTTCAAAAGAAGACCCACACCCTGTTGTTTGGCAGTCTGCTGCCCCGAGTAGAGGACTGTCCACCCCTCATGGTGGCAGGAGCCAGAACCGGTCCACCGGACCTCCTGAATGCCGCATAGATCCAGGCGGTACCGGTCCAGCTCCCGACAGAGGAGTGGCAGCCTCTCCTCTGCAGTGAGCGTTCGAACATTCCACGTGGCCACCCGTAGTGGCTTTTCGTTGTTTCTGGAGTAGCCCCGAGGGTAGGTATTCAATCTCCTGGCTCCGCCAATTGGGGTTTGGCCAGGAGACGTCATAGACGCCTGGCCCCCCGGGGCCTCCGGCACAAGCTTAGTTGTTACATATTTCAGTTTAATTCGTGGTTTTGTGGTAATTAATTGAAGGTGGAGGGGTTACCAGCCCCTCGCACCCGTCCAGAGCCCCCGTTTAGCCCCTGTGGTGGACACATATGCCATGAGGGGAGGAGCCAATCAAAATTGGAACTCCCCCCACAGCGCTGTCCACGACAGAGTTGCCCGTCCGGCACCGCGAGGAGGTAGGGGGTTGTTACACACACACAGTGACACACACACACAGTGACACACACACACAGTGACACACACACACAGTGACACACACACACACAGTGACACACACACACAGTGACACACACACACACAGTGACACACACAGTGACACACACACACACAGTGACACACACACACACACAGTGACACACACACACACGCAGTGACACGCACACAGTGACACACACACACATACAGTGACACACACACACAGTGACACACACAGTGACACACACAGTGACACACACACACACACAGTGACACACACACACACAGTGACACACACAGTGACACACACAGTGACACACACACACAGTGACACACACACAGTGACACACACACACAGTGACACACACACAGTGACACACACAGTGACACACACACACACAGTGACACACACAGTGACACACACAGTGACACACACACACATACAGTGACACACACACACAGTGACACACACACAGTGACACACAGTGACACACACACAGACACACACAGTGACACACACACACAGACACACACACAGTGACACACACAGTGACACACACAGTGACACACACACAGTGACACACACAGTGACACACACAGTGACACACACAGTGACACACACACAGTGACACACACACACACAGTGACACACACACAGTGACACACACAGTGACACACACAGTGACACACACACACAGTGACACACACACAGTGACACACACACACACAGTGACACACACACACAGTGACACACGACACACACACAGTGACACACACACAGTGACACACACACACACAGTGACACACAGTGACACACACACAGTGACACACACACAGTGACACACACACACACAGTGACACACACACAGTGACACACACACACACAGTGACACACACACACACAGTGACACACACAGTGACACACACACACAGTGACACACACACACAGTGACACACACACAGTGACACACACACACACAGTGACACACACACACAGTGACACACACAGTGACACACACACACACAGTGACACACACACACACAGTGACACACACAGTGACACACACACACAGTGACACACACACACACACAGTGACACACACACAGTGACACACACACACACACAGTGACACACACACACACAGTGACACACACACAGTGACACACAGTGACACACACACACAGTGACACACACAGTGACACACACACACAGTGACACACACAGTGACACACACAGTGACACACACACACACAGTGACACACACAGTGACACACACACACACAGTGACACACACACACAGTGACACACACACACACAGTGACACACACACAGTGACACACACACACACAGTGACACACACAGTGACACACACACACAGTGACACACACAGTGACACACACACACAGTGACACACACACACACAGTGACACACACACAGTGACACACACACAGTGACACACACACACACAGTGACACACACAGTGACACACACACACAGTGACACACACACACACAGTGACACACACAGTGACACAAACACACAGTGACACACACAGTGACACACACAGTGACACACACACACAGTGACAAAGATCCCCCATATAGCCTTAACAGACTGTAGGGGCAAGTGCTGTTAGCGAGCACCTATGAAGGCCGGAACGGTACACGAGGGGGTGGGTGGCCAGCGCCACGCCCGACCGCCTTTGTCTCCCTAGTCGCGATGTTTACACACCGCACCAGGTACTCATTTGAGGCTGAGTCGACCTAGGGGAGGCCCGGGACCGGTTCAGATAATCGTCACTGGTGTTGGCTGTGAGCGGGAATCGAACCCGGGTGCCAGGTTCATAGCGCAGCGCGCTAACCGCTACACTATCGCTCTCCAACACACAGTGACACACACACACACAGTGACACACACACAGTGACACACACACAGTGACACACACACACACAGTGACACACACACACACAGTGACACACACACACACACAGTGACACACACACACAGTGACACACACACACACAGTGACACACACACAGTGACACACACACAGTGACACACACACAGTGACACACACACACACAGTGACACACACACAGTGACACACACACAGTGACACACACACACACAGTGACACACACACAGTGACACACACACAGTGACACACACACAGTGACACACACAGTGACACACACAGTGACACACACACACACAGTGACACACACAGTGACACACACACACAGTGACACACACAGTGACACACACACACACAGTGACACACACAGTGACACACACAGTGACACACACACACACAGTGACACACACAGTGACACACACACACAGTGACACACACACACAGTGACACACACACACACAGTGACACACACACAGTGACACACACACACACAGTGACACACACAGTGACACACACACACAGTGACACACACAGTGACACACACACACAGTGACACACACACACACAGTGACACACACACAGTGACACACACACAGTGACACACACACACACAGTGACACACACAGTGACACACACACACAGTGACACACACACACACAGTGACACACACAGTGACACACACACACAGTGACACACACAGTGACACACACAGTGACACACACAGTGACACACACACACAGTGACACACACAGTGACACACACACACAGTGACACACACACAGTGACACACACAGTGACACACACACAGTGACACACACAGTGACACACGACACACACACACAGTGACACACACACACACAGTGACACACACACACACAGTGACACACACACACACACAGTGACACACACACACAGTGACACACACACACAGTGACACACACAGTGACACACACACACAGTGACACACACACACACAGTGACACACACACAGTGACACACACACACAGTGACACACACAGTGACACACACACACAGTGACACACACACACACAGTGACACACACACAGTGACACACACACAGTGACACACACACACACAGTGACACACACACACACAGTGACACACACACACACACAGTGACACACACACACAGTGACACACACACACACAGTGACACACACACAGTGACACACACACAGTGACACACACACAGTGACACACACACACACAGTGACACACACACAGTGACACACACACAGTGACACACACACACACAGTGACACACACACAGTGACACACACACAGTGACACACACACAGTGACACACACAGTGACACACACAGTGACACACACACACACAGTGACACACACAGTGACACACACACACAGTGACACACACAGTGACACACACACACAGTGACACACACAGTGACACACACACACACAGTGACACACACAGTGACACACACACACAGTGACACACACACACACAGTGACACACACACACAGTGACACACACACACAGTGACACACACAGTGACACACACACAGTGACACACACACAGTGACACACACACAGTGACACACACACACAGTGACACACACAGTGACACACACACACAGTGACACACACACACACAGTGACACACACACACACAGTGACACACACACAGTGACACACACACAGTGACACACACACAGTGACACACACACACAGTGACACACACAGTGACACACACACACACACACAGTGACACACACAGTGACACACACACACAGTGACACACACAGTGACACACACACACACACACAGTGACACACACAGTGACACACACAGTGACACACAGTGACACACACACACACAGTGACACACACACACACAGTGACACACACACACAGTGACACACACAGTGACACACACACACACACACAGTGACACACACAGTGACACACACACACAGTGACACACACAGTGACACACACACACACACACAGTGACACACACACACACACACAGGCCACTCCAAGCACCTGCAGCTGTGCGCTGTTCGCCAATCGAAGCTTCATGTGGAGCACACAGCGGTCCAGCAGAACGTCCTCCTCCTCCTCCTCCTCCTCCTCCTCCTCCTTCACCACCACCACCTCGTCGTCCTCGTCGCCGCCGCCGCCACAAGACGCCGCCTCTCTCAGCCTCTCCCGCATCTTGCCGATGAAGAAGCAGCTGACGGTCGCACACAGAGAGGGGGAAAAGCCCAGAGCGGAAGGTTGGCAGGGGGCCGGGGAGGATGGCGGGGCAAGGTGCTCGCTCCTCTCCCTCTCTCTCTCTCTCTCACTCTCTCAACACAGCGGTGGTGGTGAAGGTGGTGGTGACGGTGGTGGTGGTGGTGACGGTGGTGATGGTGGTGGTGACGGTGGTGATGGTGGTGACGGTGGTGGTAGTGGTGGTGACGGTGGTGGTGACAGTGACGGTGATGGTAGCGACGGTGGTGGTGGTGATGGTAGTGGTGACGGTGGTGATGGTGGGGCGGTGGTGACGGTGGTGGTGACGGTGGTGACGGTGGTGGTGGTGGTTACGGTCGTGGTGGTGGTGACGGTGGTGACGGTGGTGGTCACGGTAGTGGTGACGGTGGTGGTGACGGTGGTGATGGTGGTGGTGATGGTGGTGGTGACAGTGATGGTGATGGTAGCGACGGTGGTGGTGGTGATGGTGGTGACGGTGGTGATGGTGACGGTGGTGATGGTGACGGTGGTGATGGTGACGGTGGTGGTGGCGACGGTGGTGGTGGTGGTGGTCACAGTGGTGGTGACGGTGGTGACTGTGGTGGTGACGGTGGTGGTGGTGATGGTGGTGATGGTAGTGACGGTGGTGGTGACCGTGGTGGTGGTGGTGGTGTCGGCGGTTGTGGCGGTGGTGGCGGTGGTTGCGGTGGTGGTTGCGGTGGTTGCGGTGGTGGTTGCGGTGGTTGCGGTGAGCTGTACCGATTGGTGATGACGTCATCCCAAGTGGAGATGGAGTCGAGCCGTGGGTCGGGAAGTCTTCTCATCCAGGACGAGGTGAGCCGACGGATCTCAGAGAGTCCACGAAAGTTCGCTGCACACGCCGGAGAGAGAGACACCCAGACCCAGGGCTTGAACCCAGACTCTCAGTGTCTCTGACACGGCCATCGTGAACCCCCTGAGAGAGAGAGACACCCAGACCCAGGGCTTGAACCCAGACTCTCAGTGTCTCTGACACGGCCATCGTGAACCCCCTGAGAGAGACACCCAGGACCCAGGGCTTGAACCCAGACTCTCAGTGTCTCTGACACGGCCATCGTGAACCCCCTGAGAGAGACACCCAGACCCAGGGCTTGAACCCAGACTCTCAGTGTCTCTGACACGGCCATCGTGAACCCCCTGAGAGAGAGAGACACCCAGACCCAGGGCTTGAACCCAGACTCTCAGTGTCTCTGACACGGCCATCGTGAACCCCCTGAGAGAGACACCCAGACCCAGGGCTTGAACCCAGACTCTCAGTGTCTCTGACACGGCCATCGTGAACCCCCTGAGAGAGACACCCAGACCCAGGGCTTGAACCCAGACTCTCAGTGTCTCTGACACGGCCATCGTGAACCCCCTGAGAGAGAGAGACACCCAGACCCAGGGCTTGAACCCAGACTCTCAGTGTCTCTGACACGGCCATCGTGAACCCCCTGAGAGAGACACCCAGACCCAGGGCTTGAACCCAGACTCTCAGTGTCTCTGACACGGCCATCGTGAACCCCCTGAGAGAGAGAGAGACACCCAGACCCAGGGCTTGAACCCAGGCTCTCAGTGTCTCTGACACGGACATCGTGAACCCCCTGAGAGAGAGACACCCAGACCCAGGGCTTGAACCCAGACTCTCAGTGTCTCTGACACGGCCATCGTGAACCCCCTGAGACACCCAGACCCAGGGCTTGAACCCAGACTCTCAGTGTCTCTGACACGGCCATCGTGAACCCCCTGAGAGAGAGAGACACCCAGACCCAGGGCTTGAACCCAGGCTCTCAGTGTCTCTGACACGGCCATCGTGAACCCCCTGAGAGAGAGAGAGACACCCAGACCCAGGGCTTGAACCCAGACTCTCAGTGTCTCTGACACGGCCATCGTGAACCCCCTGAGAGAGAGAGACACCCAGACCCAGGGCTTGAACCCAGACTCTCAGTGTCTCTGATACAACCATCGTGAACCCCCTGAGAGAGAGAGAGACACCCAGACCCAGGGTTGAACCCAGGCTCTCAGTGTCTCTGACACGGCCATCGTGAACCCCCTGAGAGAGACACCCAGACCCAGGGCTTGAACCCAGACTCTCAGTGTCTCTGACACGGCCGCTATGAACCCCCTGAGAGAGAGAGAGACACCCAGACCCAGGGCTTGAACCCAGACTCTCAGTGTCTCTGACACGGCCGCTATGAACCCCCTGAGAGAGAGAGAGACACCCAGACCCAGGGCTTGAACCCAGACTCTCAGTGTCTCTGACACGGCCATCGTGAACCCCCTGAGAGAGAGAGACACCCAGACCCAGGGCTTGAACCCAGACTCTCAGTGTCTCTGACACGGACATCGTGAACCGCCTGAGAGAGAGAGACACCCAGACCCAGGGCTTGAACCCAGGTTCTCAATGGGGCGATGATGATAGTGATGACGATGATAGTGATGACGATAGTGATGATGATAGCGATGGTGATAGCGATGGTGATAGTGATGATGGTGGTGACGATAATGATGACGATGATGATAGTGATGACGATGATAGTGATGATGATAGTGATGATGGGCGGAGGGGGGGGGTGTTGGAGAGGGGGCTTAGGGGGGTGGAGGGGGGGAGGGGCTACGCACAGTCGTGAGAGAGGAAGTTGATGAAGTGGCTGAGCTCAGTGAGGGCCTGCAGCGACTGAAGGCGCTGCAGGCGAGACTCCTGGTGCATTGCATCCACACTCGCCCACTCCTATGGGCACACACACACACACGCACACACACATGCACGTACACACACACACGTACACACACACACGTACACACACACACACGTACACACGCACACGCACACACGCACACGTACACACACACACACGTACGTACACACACACACACGTACACACACACACACGTACACACGCACGCACACACGCACACACGCACACACACACGTACACACGCACGCACACACACACACACACGTACACACACGCACGTACAGACATGCACACACATGCACGTACACACACGTACACACGCACGCACACACGCACACACGCACACACGCACACACGCACACGCATACACACGTACACACACGCGCACACACACACGCGCTTACTCCTACAGGCACGCGCACACACACGGACACACGTACACACACGCACACACACACGTACAGACGCACCTGCAGGAAGGCACACACACGTACACACACGTACACACACGCACACACACACGTACAGACGCACCTGCAGGAAGGCACACACACGTACACACACACACACGTACACACATACACACGTACAGACGCACCTGCAGGAAGGCACACACACGTGCACACACACACGTACACACACACACACGTACACACACACGTACACACACACGTACACACACGCACACACACACACGTACAGACGCACCTGCAGGAAGGCACACACACGTGCACACACACACATACACACACACGTACACACACACACGTACACACACATGTACACACACACGTACAGACGCACCTGCAGGAAGGCACACACATGTACACACACATGTACACACATGTACACGTACACACACATGTACACACTTACACACGTACACACACACACACACACGTACAAACGCACCTGCAGGAAGGCACACACACGTACACACACACGTACACACACGCACACACACACGTACAGACGCACCTGCAGGAAGGCACACACACGTACACACACACACGTGCACACACACACGTACACACACACACACGTACAGACGCACCTGCAGGAAGGCACACACACGTACACACACACGTGCACACACACACGTACACACACACACACACGTACAGACGCACCTGCAGGAAGGCACACACACGTACACACACGCACACACGCACGCACACACGCGCACACACACACGCGCACACACGCACACACACGTACACGCACACACACGTACACACACGCGCTCACTCCTACAGGCACACACACGCACTCACGTACACGTGCATACACACACGTACAGACGCACCTGCAGGAAGTCACACACACGTACACACACACACACGTACAGACGCACCTGCAGGAAGGCACACACACGTGGACACACACACGTACACACACACACACACGTACACACACACGTACATACACACGTACGCACATGTACACACACGTACAGACGCACCTGGAGGAAGGCACACACACACACGTACACACACACACACACGTACACACACACACACGTACACACGCACACACCTGCAGGAAGGCACACACACGTACACACCTGCAGGAAGGCACACACATGTACACACACACACGTACACACCTGCAGGAAGGCACACACACGTACACACACACACGTGTACACACACGTACATACACACACGTACACACACGTACACACACACACACACACGTACACACGCACACACGTACACACCTGCAGGAAGGCACACACACGTACACACACACACACGTACACACACACACACGTACACACACGTACACACACGTGTACACACCTGCAGGAAGGCACACACACGTACACACACACACGTACACACACACACACACGTACACACACACACACGTACACACACGTACACACACGTGTACACACCTGCAGGAAGGCACACACACGTACACACACACACGTACACACACACACACGTACACACACACACACACGTACACACACACACACGTACACACCTGCAGGAAGGCACACACACGTACACACACACACGTACACACACACACACGTACACACACACACACACACACGTACACACCTGCAGGAAGGCACACACACGTACACACACACACGTACACACACACACACGTACACACACACACACGTACACACACACACACACGTACACACACACACACGTACACACCTGCAGGAAGGCCCGCATGCCGGTGTGTGCCAGGCTCGCGGCCCTGCCCAGGCGGCCGTGTGCCAGGTGCAGAGCCGCGAGCTCCGGGCCAAACGCCGACTCCAGCAGGCGTCGCCGGCGCTGCGACGCGCGGCAAGACGCGTCCACAAACGCCGACAGCGTGGTGGCGGTGGTGGTGGAGGCGGTGGAGGTGGAGGCGGTGGAGGCGGTGGAGGCGGAGGCGGTGGAGGCGGTGGAGGTGGAGGCGGTGGAGGCGGTGGAGGTGGAGGCGGTGGAGGCGGTGGAGGCGGAGGCGGTGGAGGGGTCACCGCCTCCGGTGAGCAGCAGCTTCAGCCGAGCCTTGATTACCCACGGGAGATAGGCCTCCTGCTCACCACATGCAGGCGTGGGGAGGGGGGGGGGGGTGGGTGAGTGGGTGAGTGAGTGGATGGGTGAGTGAGTGGGTGAGTGGGTGAGTGAGTGACTGGGTGAGTGAGTGGGTGAGTGAGTGGGTGAGTGAGTGGGTGAGTGGGTGAGTGAGTGGGTGAGTGAGTGGGTGAGTGAGTGGGTGAGTGAGTGAGTGGGTAGGTGAGTGGGTGAGTGAGTGTGTGAGTGAGTGGGTGGGTGAGTGACTGGGTGAGTGAGTGGGTGGATGTGTGAGTGAGTAGGTGAGTGAGTGAGTGGGTGAGTGAGTGAGAGAGTGACTGGGTGAGTGAGTGGGTGAGTGTGTGACTGGGCGAGTGAGTGGGTGAGTGAGTGAGTGGGTGAGTGAGTGGATTGATGAGTGTACGTGTGTGTGTGTGTGTGTCTGTGTGCGGGAGTTCGACACTTCACGTGGCCTCAGGGTGCACATGGCCTGGCACAAGCGTCGTGGTGATGCCACCGCCACTTAGTGGCGAATGGCGGTTGTTGTTGTTGTTGTTGTGTTGTTGTTGTGTGCGTGAGTGGATCAACAACAGCATATCATACTCTTTGGTTCTTTCGGTAAAGTCTCGTAGTTAGAAATTAAATTTAACAAATCACGACGATTGATCGCAACACAACAAGAGGTCGTCAACAGTAGATCAGCCGGAGCTGTGGTGACACCACCACCACCCCTCTCTCTCCTCCACCTCCTCATCCTCCATCCACCTCCTCATCCCTCCCTCCTCCCTCCCTCTCCTCTCCCACCGCAACCAACACCACCTCCATCCACCCCCTCCCTATCCACCACCACCACCACCACCTCCACCACCAGCACCACCTCCACCACCAGCACCTCCACCACCCCCTCCACCACCACCTCCACCACCACCACCACCAACCCCACCACCACCACCACCCCCTCCACCACCACCACCACCCCTCTCTCTCCTCCACCTCCTCATCCTCCATCCACCTCCTCATCCCCTCTCCTCTTTCACCAACACCACCCCCATCCACCACCCCATCCACCCCCTCCCTATCCACCACCACCACCACCTCCACCACCACCACCACCTCCACCACCCCCTCCACCACCACCACCCCCTCCACCACCACCTCCACCACCCCCTACACCTCCCTATCCACCACCACCCCCTCCACCACCCCATCCACCACCAACTCCACCACCACCACCACCACCACAACCCCCTCCACCACCACCTCCACCACCATCCCCTCCACCATCCCATCCACCACCACCTCCACTACCATCATCACCACCACCACCACCACCCCATCCACCACCACCACCCCATCCATCACCACCACCACCTCCACCACCACCCCTTCCACCACCACCTCCACCACCTCCACCACTACCACCACCACCACCACCCCCCCCCCCCTCCACCACCCCATCCACCACCACCCTCACCTCCACCCCATCCATCACCACCCCCTCCACCACCACCACCACCACCACCCCCACCACCACCACCACCACCACCCCCACCACCACCACCACCACCCCCACCAACCCCACCACCACCACCACCAGCTCCACCACCACCCCCTCCACCACCACCCTCACCACCCCACCCACCACCCCCTCCACCACTCCCTCCACCACCCAATCCAGCACCACCACCACCACTCCCTCCACTACCTCCCCATCCACCACCTCCACTACCCCCTACACCTCCCTATCCACCACCACACCCTCCACCACCACCCTCACCTCCACCCCATCCATCACCACCCCCTCCACCACCACCACCACCCCCACCCCCACCACCACCACCCCCACCACCACCACCACCACCCCCACCACCACCACCACCAACCCCACCACCACCACCACCCCCTCCACCACCACCACCTCCACCACCACCCTATCCACCACCCCATCTACCACCAACTCCACCACCACCACCCCCTCCACCACCACCTCCACTACCCCCTACACCTCCCTATCCTCCACCCCCCCCCCCCCCCCCCCCCCACCTGGTAGAAGGGGTCGTCCCAGAGCACGAGGAGGTTTGGGGGTCTCTGGGAGTCGAAGCTGGCGGTGGCACCATGCTCCAGGTGAGTCCAGCGAGTGAGGCGGGCGTAGCAGGAGAGCGATGAGAAGTCCCACAGCTCCGTCTCAGCCTCCGGCGGGGGGCCCCCGGGCCAGTCCTCCGTGCTCAGGGCCTTGACGAGGAGGAGGAGGAGAGGAGGGGGGGGGGGGGGGGCAGGAGGGAGGAGGGAGAGGGGGGGGCGGGGGGCACGGAGCTCACACGCAGAGCAGTAGACTCACACGGAGGGACACAGACTCACACATAGACACACAGACTCACACATAGACACATAGACTCAGACAGAGGGACACAGACTCACACATAGACACATAGACTCACACGCAGAGCAGTAGACTCACACATAGACACATAGACTCGGACAGAGACACACAGACTCACACATAGACACACAGACTCACACATAGACACATAGACTCAGACAGAGGGACACAGACTCACACATAGACACACAGACTCACACGCAGACACAGACTCACACGGAGGGACACAGACTCACACATAGACACACAGACTCGCACATAGACACAGACTCAGACAGAGGGACACAGACTCACACATAGACACATAGACTCACACAGACACACAGACTCACACATAGACACACAGACCCATACATGGATCCATAGACTCACACATAGACACACAGACCCATACATGGATCCATAGACTCACACATAGACACACAGACCCATACATGGATCCATAGACTCACACATAGACACACAGACTCACACATAGACACATAGACCCATACATGGATCCATAGACTCACACATAGACACATAGACTCACACATAGACACCCAGACCCATACATGGATCCATAGACTCACACATAGACACATAGACCCATACATGGATCCATAGACTCACACATAGACACACAGACCCATACATGGATCCATAGACTCACACATAGACACACAGACCCATACATGGATCCATAGACTCAGACAGAGGGACATAGACTCACACATAGACACACAGACCCATACATGGATCCATAGACTCAGACAGAGGGACACAGACTCACACAGAGACACATAGACCCATACATGGATCCATAGACTCAGACAGAGGGACACAGACTCACACAGAGACACATAGACCCATACATGGATCCATAGACTCACACAGAGGGACATAGACTCACACATAGACACACAGACCCATACATGGATCCATAGACTCACACATAGACACAGACTCACACATAGACACATAGACCCATACATAGACACACAGACTCACACATAGACACAGACTCACACATATACACACAGACCCACACATGGATCCATAGACTCAAATAGAGATTCAGATTCCCTTCTGCCCCTCCCCCCTGCTCCCTCCCCCCACTGGCCCCTCCCCCCCCCGCCCCTCCCCCCACTGGCTCCCCCCCCCGCCCCTCCCCCCGTGGCTCCCCCCCCCCCCCGCCCCTCCCCCCACCTGCTCGTAGAGTCGAGCGGCCTCTTGCAAGTCTCCGCGAGCCTCAGCACCAAGGGCGGCCCTGGTGACCTCCTTTGTGCCAATGGTGCCCGAGAAGATCCCTCGCACGGAGTCGTAGTCACTCACGGAGCGGTACAGCCTGCACCATCAACACCATCATCACCATCACCATCGTCACCATCATCACCGTCACCAACATCGTCAACATCATCATCGTCAACATCATTGCCATCATCGCCACCCTGCCATAGAAGATCCCTCGCACGGAGTCGTAGTCACTCACGGAGCGGTACAGCCTGCACCATCACCACCATCAACACCGTCACCAACATCGTCACCATCATCATCGTCAACATCACCATCATCAACATCGTCAACATCGTCAACATCGTCACGATCGTCACCATCGTCAACATCATCGCCATCATCGCCACCCTGCCCGAGAAGATCCCTCGCACGGAGTCGTAGTCACTCACGGAGCGGTACAGCCTGCACCATCACCACCATCACCATCGTCAACATCGTCAACATCGTCACGATCGTCACCATCGTCAACATCATCGCCATCATCGCCACCCTGCCAGAGAAGATCCCTCGCACGGAGTCGTAGTCACTCACGGAGCGGTACAGCCTGCACCATCACCACCATCAACACCGTCACCAACATCGTCAACATCGTCACCATCGTCACCATCACCATCGTCAACATCGTCACCGTCAACATCATCGCCACCCTGCCCGAGAAGATCCCTCGCACGGAGTCGTAGTCACTCACGGAGCGGTACAGCCTGCACCATCACCACCATCACCATCGTCAACATCGTCAACATCATCATCGTCACCATCGTCAACATCATTGCCATCATCGCCACCCTGCCAGAGAAGATCCCTCGCACGGAGTCGTAGTCACTCACGGAGCGGTACAGCCTGCACCATCACCACCATCATCACCACCACCGTCACCCTCCGTCAACACCATCACCACCATCATCGTCAACATCGTCACCGTCACCATCGTCAACATCATCGCTACCCTGCCATAGAAGATCCCTCGCACGGAGTCGTAGTCACTCACGGAGCGGTACAGCCTGCACCATCATCACCATCAACACCATCATCGTCAACATCATCATCGCCACCCTGCCCGAGAAGATCCCTCGCACGGAGTCGTAGTCACTCACGGAGCGGTACAGCCTGCACCACCATCACCATCACCATCGTCAACATCGTCAACATCATCACCATCACCATCGTCAACATCGTCAACATCATCAACATCATCATCGTCAACATCGTCACCGTCACCATCGTCAACATCATCGCCACCCTGCCCGAGAAGATCCCTCGCACAGAGTCGTAGTCACTCACGGAGCGGTACAGCCTGCACCATCGTCACCATCACCATCGTCAACATCGTCACCGTCACCATCATCGCCACCCTGCCCGAGAAGATCCCTCGCACGGAGTCGTAGTCACTCACGGAGCAGTACAGCCTGCACCATTACCACCATCACCACCATCACCACCATCACCACCATCACCAACATCATTGTCGTCGTCGTCACCACCACTGCCACCACCAGCACCACCACCACCACCAGCACCACCACCACCACCAGCACCACCACCACCACCAGCACCACCACCACCAGCACCACCACCACCACCAGCACCACCACCACCACCACCAGCACCACCACCGCCACCACCACCACCACCAGCACCACCACCACCACCACCACCACCACCACCACCAGCACCACCACCACCACCACCACCGCCACCGCCACCACCACCACCACCACCACCACCGCGTCCTCAGATCACCTGGCCAGCTGGATCCAGGTGGCCGTGTCAGGCGCCACCTCCGACCACTGCCGCCGCCGCCACCGGCGGTGCTGCGCCGCGTCCAGCCGGGCCCTCTTGGCCGCCGGCGCGTTCCCCACCGCCGCCGAGGCCTCCGGCTCCTCGGCGCCACCGTGCGGTTGCCGCGGCCGCCGGAGGAGGCCCTGGGCCTCGTCCCGGAGGAGGGCCTCCTCCAGGAGGAGGATGCCCGAGGCCTGCTGCAGGCTCGCCAGCGCCGACGAGGCGACGAGGTCGGCGGGCAGCGGCGGGAGGTCCGGGTTCCGGCAGCAGAGGTCCTGAGAGAGACGCAGAGAGGCGGAGAGAGACGGAGAGACGGAGAGAGACGGAGAGACGGAGAGAGACAGAGAGACAGAGAGAGAGACGGAGAGGCAGAGAGACAGAGAGAGAGAGAGAGACGGAGAGATGGAGAGAGACAGAGAGACAGAGAGAGAGACGGAGAGGCAGAGAGACAGAGAGAGAGAGAGAGAGAGACGGAGAGATGGAGAGAGACAGAGAGACAGAGGCAGAGAGACGGAGAGAGAGAGACGGAGAGACAGAGAGACGGAGAGACGGAGAGATGGAGAGAGACAGAGGCAGAGAGACGGAGAGATGGAGATAGACAGAGAGACAGAGGCAGAGAGACAGAGAGATGGAGAGAGACAGAGAGGCGGAGAGAGACGGGGAGAGACAGAGAGACAGAGAGATAGAGGCAGAAAGACAGAGAGAGAGAGACAGAGGCAGAGAGACGGAGAGACAGAGAGAGAGAGAGACGGAGAGAGAGAGAGACGGAGAGATGGAGAGAGAGACGGAGAGAGAGAGAGAGACGGAGAGATGGAGAGAGAGACAGAGAGACAGAGACAGAGAGAGAGAGACAGAGGCAGAGAGACGGAGAGAGAGAGACAGAGAGACAGAGGCAGAGAGACGGAGAGACGGAGAGAGACAGAGAGGCGGAGAGAGACGGGGAGAGACAGAGAGACAGAGGCAGAGAGACGGAGAGATGGAGAGAGACAGAGAGATGGAGAGAGACAGAGAGACAGAGGCAGAGAGACGGAGATATGAAGAGAGACAGAGAGAGAGAGACAGAGAGACAGAGAGACGGAGAGATGGAGAGAGACAGAGAGACAGAGGCAGAGAGACGGAGAGATGGAGAGAGACAGAGAGACAGAGACAGAGGCAGAGAGACGGAGAGATGGAGAGAGACAGAGAGACAGAGAGACAGAAGCAGAGAGACGGAGAGATGGAGAGAGACAGAGAGGCGGAGAGAGACGGGGAGAGACAGAGAGACATAGGCAGAGAGACGGAGAGATCGAGAGAGACAGAGAGATCGAGAGACAGAGAGACAGAGGCAGAGAGATGGAGAGATGAAGAGAGACAGAGAGGCGGAGAGAGACGGGGAGAGACAAAGAGACAGAGGCAGAGAGATGGAGAGATGGAGAGATGGAGAGATGGAGAGAGATGGAGAGAGACAGAGAGACAGAGGCAGAGAGACGGAGAGATGGAGAGAGACAGAGAGATGGAGAAAGACAGAGAGACGGAGAGAGAGACAGAGAGAGAGACAGAGAGACGGAGAGAGACGGGGAGAGACAGAGACAGAGAGACGGAGAAAGAGACAGAGAGACGGAGAAAGAGACAGAGAGACAGAGAGACGGAGAGAGAGAGAGAGAGACAGAGAGAGAGTGAAACAGAGACAGACAGAGAGACGGAGAGAGAGACAGAGAGAGACGGAGAGAGAGACGGAGAGAGAGACAGAGAGAGAGACAGAGAGAGAGTGAGACAGAGAGAGAGACAGAGAGACAGAGAGAGAGAGACAGAGAGACAGAGAGAGTGAGACAGAGACAGACGGAGAGACGGAGAGAGAGAGACAGAGAGAGACGGAGAGACAGAGATACAGAGAAATAGACGGAGAGAGAGACAAAGAGAGAGATAGACAGAGAGACGGAGAGAGACGCAGAGTGAGAGACGGAGAGAGAGAGACGGACAGAGACAGAGAGAGAGACGGACAGAGAGACGGAGAGAGACAGAGAGAGAGTGAGACAGAGACACAGACAGAGAAACAGAGACAGACAGAGAGACGGAGAAAGAGACGGAGAGAGAGACGCATAGAGACAAAGAGAGTGACAGGGAGAGAGACCGGGAGAGAGACAGAGCGAAAGCGGTTCACGATGGCCGTGTCAGAGGCTGGGTCTGGGTGTTTCTCTCTCTCAAGGGGTTCACGATGGCCGTGTCAGAGACACTGAGAGTCTGGGTTCAAGCCCTGGGTCTGGGTGTCTCTCTCTCTCAGGGAGTTCACGATGGCCGTGTCAGAGACACTGAGAGTCTGGGTTCAAGCCCTGGGTCTGGGTGTCTCTCTCTCTCAGGGGGTTCACGATGGCCGTGTCAGAGACACTGAGAGTCTGGGTTCAAGCCCTGGGTCTGGGTGTCTCTCTCTCTAAGGGGGTTCACGATGGCCGTGTCTAGTAGTGTAGTGTATAGTAGTGTAGTGTATAGTGTAGTGTATAGTAGTGTAGTGTATAGTAGTGTAGTGTATAGTGTAGTGTACAGTAGTGTAGTGTATAGTGTAGTGTGTAGTAGTGTAGTGTATAGTAGTGTAGTGTATAGTAGTGTAGTAGTGTATAGTGGTGTAGTGTATAGTGGTGTAGTGTATCGTAGTGTAGTGTACAGTAGTGTAGTGTGTAGTGTATAGTAGTGTATAGTAGTGTAGTGTACAGTAGTGTAGTGTACAGTATTGTAGTGTACAGTGTAGTATATAGTAGTGTATAGTAGTGTAGTGTATAGTGGTGTAGTGTATAGTGGTGTAGTGTATAGTGGTGTAGTGTATAGTGGTGTAGTGTATAGTAGTGTAGTGTATAGTGGTGAAGTGTATAGTAGTGTAGTGTACAGTAGTGTAGTGTATAGTAGTGTAGTGTACAGTAGTGTATATAGCATCTGAAAGCGATGCGTTGACCACCTCTGTGATGATGAGCGGAGTTCACACAGTAGAGACCCACAGACTACTCACACAGTAGAGACCCACAGACTACTCACACAGTAGAGACCCACAGACTACTCACACAGTAGAGACCCACAGACTACTCACACAGTAGAGACCCACAGACTACTCACACAGTAGAGACCCATAGACTACTCACACAGTAGAGACCCACAGACTACTCACACAGTAGAGACCCACAGACTACTCACACAGTAGAGACCCACAGACTACTCACACAGTAGAGACCCACAGACTACTCACACAGTAGAGACCCACAGACTACTCACACAGTAGAGACCCACAGACTACTCACACAGTAGAGACCCACAGACTACTCACACAGTAGAGACCCACAGACTACTCACACAGTAGAGACCCACAGACTACTCACACAGTAGAGACCCACAGACTACTCACACAGTAGAGACCCAAAGACTACTCACACATTAGAGACCCATAGACTACTCACACAGTAGAGACCCATAGACTACTCACACAGTAGAGACCCACAGACTACTCACACAGTAGAGACCCACAGACTACTCACACAGTTTGAGACCCACAGACTACTCACACAGTAGAGACCCATAGACTACTCACACAGTAGAGACCCAAAGACTACTCACACATTAGAGACCCAAAGACTACTCAAACAGTAGAGACCCATAGACTACTCACAGTAGAGACCCACAGACTACTCACACAGTAGAGACCCACAGACTACTCACACAGTAAAGACCCACAGACTACTCACACATTAGAGACCCATAGACTACTCACACAGTAGAGACCCACAAACTACTCACACGGTAGAGACCCACAGACTACTCACACAGTAGAGACCCACAGACTACTCACACAGTAGAGACCCATAGACTACTCACACAGTATAGACCCACAGACTACTCACACAGTAGAGACCCACAGACTACTCACACAGTAGAGACCCACAGACTACTCACACAGTAGAGACCCATAGACTACTCACACAGTAGAGACCCACAGACTACTCACACAGTAGAGACCCATAGACTACTCACACAGTAGAGACCCACAGACTACTCACACAGTAGAGACCCACAGACTACTCACACAGTAGAGACCCATAGACTACTCACACATTAGAGACCCATAGACTACTCACACAGTAGAGACCCACAGACTACTCACACAGTAGAGACCCACAGACTACTCACACAGTAGAGACCCATAGACTACTCACACAGTAGAGACCCACAGACTATTCACACAGTAGAGACCCATAGACCACTCACACAGTAGAGACCCATAGACTACTCACACAGTAGAGACCCAGAGACTACTCACACAGTAGAGACCCACAGACTACTCACACAGTAGAGACCCACAGACTACTCACACGGTAGAGACCCACAGACTACTCACACGGTAGAGACCCACAGACTACTCACACATTAGAGAGACCCACAGACTACTCACACGGTAGAGACCCACAGACTACTCACACAGTAGAGACCCATAGACTACTCACACAGTAGAGACCCACAGACTATTCACACAGTAGAGACCCACAGACTACTCGCACAGTAGAGACCTACAGACTACTCACACAGTAGAGACCCATAGACTACTCACACAGTAGAGACCCACAGACTACTCACACAGTAGAGACCCACAGACTACTCACACAGTAGAGAGACCCACAGACTACTCACACAGTAGAGACCCACAGACTACTCACACAGTAGAGACCCACAGACTACTCACACAGTAGAGACCCACAGACTACTCACACAGTAGAGACCCACAGACTACTCACACAGTAGAGACCCACAGACTACTCACACAGTAGAGACCCACAGACTACTCACACAGTAGAGACCCACAGACTATTCACACAGTAGAGACCCACAGACTACTCGCACAGTAGAGACCTACAGACTACTCACACAGTAGAGACCCATAGACTACTCACACAGTAGAGACCCACAGACTACTCACACAGTAGAGACCCACAGACTACTCACACAGTAGAGAGACCCACAGACTACTCACACAGTAGAGACCCACAGACTACTCACACAGTAGAGACCCACAGACTACTCACACAGTAGAGACCCACAGACTACTCACACAGTAGAGACCCACAGACTACTCACACAGTAGAGACCCACAGACTACTCACACAGTAGAGACCCACAGACTACTCACACAGTAGAGACACCCACAGACAACTCACACAGTAGAGACCCACAGACTACTCACACAGTAGAGACCCACAGACTACTCACACAGTAGAGACCCACAGACTACTCACACAGTAGAGACCCATAGACTACTCACACAGTAGAGACCCAGAGACTACTCACACAGTAGAGACCCATAGACTACTCACACAGTAGAGACCCACAGACTACTCACACAGTAGAGACCCACAGACTACTCACACGGTAGAGACCCACAGACTACTCACACAGTAGAGACCCACAGACTACTCACACAGTAGAGACCCACAGACTACTCACACAGTAGAGACCCACAGACTACTCACACAGTAGAGACCCATAGACTACTCACACAGTAGAGACCCAGAGACTACTCACACAGTAGAGACCCATAGACTACTCACACAGTAGAGACCCATAGACTACTCACACACTAGAGACCCACAGACTACTCACACAGTAGAGACCCACAGACTACTCACACAGTAGAGACCCACAGACCACTCACACAGTAGAGACCCACAGACTACTCACACAGTAGACACCCACAGACTACTCACACAGTAGAGACCCAGAGACTACTCACACAGTAGAGACCCACAGACTACTCACACGGTAGAGAGACCCACAGACTACTCACACAGTAGAGACACCCACAGACTACTCACACAGTAGAGACACCCACAGACCACTCACACGGTAGAGACCCACAGACTACTCACACAGTAGAGACACCCACAGACTACTCACACAGTAGAGACACCCACAGACTACTCACACAGTAGAGACACCCACAGACTACTCACACAGTAGAGACACCCACAGACTACTCACACAGTAGAGACACCCACAGACCACTCACACAGTAGAGACACCCACAGACTACTCACACAGTAGAGACACCCACAGACTACTCACACAGTAGAGACACCCACAGACTACTCACACAGTAGAGACACCCACAGACTACTCACACAGTAGAGACACCCACAGACTACTCACACAGTAGAGACACCCACAGACCACTCACACAGTAGAGACACCCACAGACCACTCACACGGTAGACACCTGTTACCTGCACAAAGACGAACACGGGGGCGTAGTGGAGCTCGCTGTCGCGTAGCAGCCGCTGCAGGTCAGAGTTCAGCCCCACGTACAGCTGCACCCTTCGCTCCTCTTCCTCTTCCTCTTCGGCGTCGGCACGGCCGGCCTCTTCAACCCGCCGGGGCAGCAGGCCTCCGAGCAGCGAGCCGAGCAACATGCGTGCCACCGGAGCGTCGCACTGCACACACGCACGGACACGCACACACGCACACGCACACACACACACGCACACGCACGCACATGCACGCCACCCCAGCGTGAACGTCTCGCGGAGACGGGGAGATGTTGACCACCTCGCCCGGCGCGCAGGAGGTCGTGGGTTCCATCCCGACCCTGACGACGCCGGCTGCGGTACATGTGGAGTCTGCGACACACTCTCTCTCTGTCTCTCTCTCTAATCATCATCGTCACCACGGTGACTATGAGATGTTAACTAACTCACTCACCCACGCTCACTTCACACACACACACACTCTTTCATCCACCCACTCACTCACTCACCCACACACTCACTCACTCACTCACCCAATCACCTACTCACTCACCCATTCACTCACCCAATCACCCATTCACTCACTCACCCACTCACTCACCCAATCACCCACTCACTCACCCAATCAACCAATCACTCACTCACCCACTCAATCACTCACCCATTCACTCACTCAATCACCCTATCACCCACTCACTCACCCAATCAACCAATCACTCACTCACCCACTCAATCACTCACCCATTCACTCACTCAATCACCCAATCACCCACTCACTCACCAATCAACCAATCACTCACTCACCCACTCAATCACTCACCCATTCACTCACTCACCCACACACTCACTCACTCACTCACCCAATCACCTACTCACTCACCCAATCACCCACTCACTCACCCAATCACCCACTCACTCACCCAATCACCTACACACTCACTCACCCACTCACTCACCCAAACACCCACTCACTCACCCATTCACTCACTCACCCACTCACTCACCCAATCACCCACTCACTCACCCAATCAACCAATCACTCACCCACTCAATCACTCACCCATTCACTCACTCAATCACCCTATCACCCACTCACTCACCCAATCACCCACTCACTCACCCAATCAACCAATCACTCACCCACTCAATCACTCACCCATTCACTCACTCAATCACCCTATCACCCACTCACTCACCCGATCACTTACTCACTCACCCAATCACCCACTCAGTCACTCACCCACGAACTCACCCACTCACTCACCTCACTCACTCACTCACCCACCCACTCACTCACTCAATCACTCACTCACCCACTCACTCACCCAATCACTCACTCACTCACCCAATCACCCACTCACTCACCCACTCACTCACTCAATCACTCACTCACCCACTCAATCACCCACTCACTCACTCACCCACCCACACACCCACTCACTCACCCAATCACCCACTCACTCACCCAATCACCCACTCACCCACCCACTAAATCACCCACTCACTCACCCAATCACTCACTCACTCACCCACTCACTCACCCAAACACCCACTCACTCACCCATTCACTCACTCACCCACTCACTCACCCAATCACCCACTCACTCACCCAATCAACCAATCACTCACCCACTCAATCACTCACCCATTCACTCACTCAATCACCCTATCACCCACTCACTCACCCAATCACCCACTCACTCACCCAATCAACCAATCACTCACCCACTCAATCACTCACCCATTCACTCACTCAATCACCCTATCACCCACTCACTCACCCGATCACTTACTCACTCACCCAATCACCCACTCAGTCACTCACCCACGAACTCACCCACTCACTCACCTCACTCACTCACTCACCCACCCACTCACTCACTCAATCACTCACTCACCCACTCACTCACCCAATCACTCACTCACTCACCCAATCACCCACTCACTCACCCACTCACTCACTCAATCACTCACTCACCCACTCAATCACCCACTCACTCACTCACCCACCCACACACCCACTCACTCACCCAATCACCCACTCACTCACCCAATCACCCACTCACCCACCCACTAAATCACCCACTCACTCACCCAATCACTCACTCACTCACTCACCCACTCACTCACCCACTCACTCACCCACTCCCCCCCCCCCCCCCCCCGTGTGCCCCCCCCTCTCCCCCACCTGTGCCAGTGCCTGTAGGGGAGCGATGATGGCCGAGTGAGGGATTTGGATGTCTGGGAGCTCCCCCAGGCGGTAGCTGCGGTAGAGACGCACGTGGGAGTCAGACCCCATGCGCAGCTCACGCTGCCTCTCCTGCACGGGGGGGGGAGGGCACGGGGGGGGCAGGGGGGGGCAGGGGGAGGGGCGGGGGGGGAGGGATAGGGTTAGTTCACGATGGCCGTGTCAGAGACACTGAGAGTCTGGGTTCAAGCCCTGGGTCTGGGTGTCTCTCAGGGGGTTCACGATGGCCGTGTCAGAGACACTGAGAGTCTGGGTTCAAGCCCTGGGTCTGGGTGTCTCTCTCTCTCTCAGGGGGTTCACGATGGACGTGTCAGAGACGCTGAGAGTCTGGGTTCAAGCCCTGGGTCTGGGTGTCTCTCTCTCTCAGGGGGTTCACGATGGCCGTATAAGAGACACTGAGAGTCTGGGTTCAAGCCCTGGGTCTGGGCGTCTCTCTCTCTCTCAGGGGGTTCACGATGGCCGTGTCAGAGACACTGAGAGTCTGGGTTCAAGCCCTGGGTCTGGGTGTCTCTCTCTCTCAGGGGGTTCACGATGGCCGTGTCAGAGACACTGAGAGTCTGGGTTCAAGCCCTGGGTCTGGGTGTCTCTCTCTCTCAGGGGGTTCACGATGGCTGTGTCAAAGACACTGAGAGTCTGGATTCAAGCCCTGGGTCTGGGTGTCTCTCTCTCTCAGGGGGTTTCACGATGGCCGTGGCAGAGACACTGAGACCTCGGTTCAAGCCCTGGGTCTGGGTGTCTCTCTCTCTCAGGGGGTTCACGATGTCCGTGTCAGAGACACTGAGAGTCTGGGTTCAAGCCCTGGGTCTGGCTGTCTCTCTCAGGGGGTTCACGATGGCCGTGTCAGAGACACTGAGAGTCTGGGTTCAAGCCCTGGGTCTGGGTGTCTCTCTCTCTCAGGGGGTTCACGATGGCCGTGTCAGAGACACTGAGAGTCTGGGTTCAAGCCCTGGGTCTGGGTGTCTCTCTCTCTCAGGGGGTTCACGATGGCCGTGTCAGAGACACTGAGAGCCTGGGTTCAAGCCCTGGGTCTGGGTGTCTCTCTCTCTCTCAGGGGGTTCACGATGGCTGTGTCGACTTAGCCCCAAATGAGTTACCTGCACTGAAGTGGTGCTGTGCAGCAGTAAAACATGGCCAGCACTGGGGGAGACAAAGGCGGCCGTGGCACTGTAGCACCCTCGTGTGCTACAGTGCCAGGCAGACTTCACCGGCTCCTGCTGCTGCTGCTGCTGATCGCTTGCTCACGAGCACTTGCCCCGAGAGCCCGTTGAGGCTACACGGCGGCAGAGGGACCCCTTTGCCTTTAGCTTAGCTCACCTTCACCTGAGCTCACGTGAGCTCACCTGAGCTCAGGTGAGCTCACCTTCACCTCACCTTCACCTCACCTGAGCTCACCTGAGCTCACCGTCACCTGAGCTCACCTCACCTGAGCTCACCTGAGCTCACCTGAGCTCACCTTCACCTGAGCTCACGTGAGCTCACCTTCACCTCACCTTCACCTCACCTGAGCTCACCTGAGCTCACCTTCACCTGAGCTCACCTCACCTGAGCTCACCTGAGCTCACCTCACCTGAGCTCACCTGAGCTCACCTGAGCTCACCTTCACCTGAGCTCACCTCACCTGAGCTCACCTGAGCTCACCTTCACCTGAGCTCACCTTCACCTGAGCTCACCTCACCTGAGCTCACCTGAGCTCACCTCACCTGAGCTCACCTGAGCTCACCTGAGCTCACCTTCACCTGAGCTCACCTCACCTGAGCTCACCTGAGCTCACCTTCACCTGAGCTCACCTTCACCTGAGCTCACCTCACCTGAGCTCACCTGAGCTCACCTGAGCTCACCTTCACCTGAGCTCACCTTCACCTGAGCTCACCTTCACCTGAGCTCACCTCACCTGAGCTCACCTGAGCTCACCTTCACCTCAGCTCACCTTCACCTGAGCTCACCTCACCTGAGCTCACCTGAGCTCACCTCACCTGAGCTCACCTGAGCTCACCTGAGCTCACCTTCACCTGAGCTCACCTCACCTGAGCTCACCTGAGCTCACCTTCACCTGAGCTCACCTTCACCTGAGCTCACCTCACCTGAGCTCACCTGAGCTCACCTGAGCTCACCTTCACCTGAGCTCACCTTCACCTGAGCTCACCTTCACCTGAGCTCACCTTCACCTGAGCTCACCTCACCTGAGCTCACCTGAGCTCACCTCACCTGAGCTCACCTGAGCTCACCTGAGCTCACCTTCACCTGAGCTCACCTCACCTGAGCTCACCTGAGCTCACCTTCACCTGAGCTCACCTCACCTGAGCTCACCTGAGCTCACCTGAGCTCACCTTCACCTGAGCTCACCTTCACCTGAGCTCACCTTCACCTGAGCTCACCTCACCTGAGCTCACCTGAGCTCACCTCACCTGAGCTCACCTGAGCTCACCTGAGCTCACCTTCACCTGAGCTCACCTCACCTGAGCTCACCTGAGCTCACCTTCACCTGAGCTCACCTCACCTGAGCTCACCTTCACCTCACCTTCACCTGAGCTCACCTCACCTCACCTCACCTGAGCTCACCTTCACCTCACCTTCACCTGAGCTCACCTCACCTCACCTCACCTGAGCTCACCTTCACCTCAGCTCACCTTCACCTCAGCTCACCTTCACCTGAGCTCACCTTCACCTCACCTGAGCTCACCTGAGCTCACCTGAGCTCACCTTCACCTCACCTCACCTCACCTGAGCTCACCTTCACCTCAGCTCACCTTCACCTCAGCTCACCTTCACCTGAGCTCACCTTCACCTCACCTGAGCTCACCTGAGCTCACCTGAGCTCACCTTCACCTCACCTCACCTGAGCTCACCTTCACCTCAGCTCACCTTCACCTCAGCTCACCTTCACCTGAGCTCACCTTCACCTCACCTGAGCTCACCTGAGCTCACCTGAGCTCACCTTCACCTGAGCTCACCTGAGCTCACCTTCACCTCAGCTCACCTTCACCTCAGCTCACCTTCACCTGAGCTCACCTTCACCTCACCTGAGCTCACCTGAGCTCACCTGAGCTCACCTTCACCTGAGCTCACCTGAGCTCACCTTCACCTCAGCTCACCTTCACCTCAGCTCACCTGAGCTCACCTGAGCTCACCTTCACCTCAGCTCACCTTCACCTCAGCTCACCTTCACCTCACCTGAGCTCACCTGAGTTCACCTTCACCTCAGCTCACCTCACCTGAGCTCACCTAAGTTCACCTGAGCTCACCTTCACCTCACCTTCACCTGAGTTCACCTTCACCTGAGCTCACCTTCACCTGAGCTCACCTTCACCTGAGCTCACCTGAGTTCACCTGAGCTCACCTTCACCTCACCTTCACCTGAGTTCACCTTCACCTGAGCTCACCTTCACCTGAGCTCACCTGAGTTCACCTGAGCTCACCTTCACCTCACCTTCACCTGAGTTCACCTTCACCTGAGCTCACCTCACCTGAGCTCACCTGAGCTCACCTTCACCTGAGCTCACCTTCACCTGAGCTCACCTGAGTTCACCTGAGCTCACCTTCACCTCACCTTCACCTGAGCTCACCTCACCTGAGCTCACCTGAGCTCACCTTCACCTGAGCTCACCTTCACCTGAGCTCACCTGAGCTCAGGTGAGCTCACCTGAGCTCACCTGAGCTCACCTTCACCTGAGCTCACCTTCACCTGAGCTCACCTGAGCTCAGGTGAGCTCACCTGAGCTCACCTCAGCTCACCTTCACCTGAGCTCACCTTCACCTGAGCTCACCTTCACCTGAGCTCACCTGCTCCATCTTCTGGGAGCGGACGACGCGGCGGGCGTGGAAGTTGCGGAGGCGGCTGGACGAGGAGGAGGAGGAGGCGAAGACTCGGCGCTTGAGAGCACGCAGATCACAGCCAGGGTCCACTACACACAGGTACACACAGGTACACACACACAGGTGTACACACACACAGGTACACACACAACAACAACAACAACCGCCATTCGCCACTAAGTGGCGGTGACGTCACCACGACGCTTGTGCCAGGCTATGTGCACCCTGAGGCCACGTGAAGTGTCGAACGCCCGCTGGCAGGAGGTCACAGGGCAGACCCAGGTGCCACGGGTCGACTGATTGAGATGACTGGCTGATGCACCACCTGTGCCCCCTACTGTGCCAACCTGCTGTGCTTTAGCCACCCGGCGCTCCGCTCGCTGTTGTGAGCGTCGCTCCTCCGCCCTCCGTTGTTGTTGGAGGGCGACTGCCTCCAACTGCCCAGTAGCATCCTTCACGAGCCTCCTCCACAGAGGCCGATCTTGACACCGCTGGTACCAGTCATCGGCAAGTCCACTCAGCTCCACGTCCTCCTGTACCACATCACTCCATCTCTTCTCTAGCCCGTGCCGCGCCCGCTTAGCCCCCTCAATCCGGCCAAACAAAAGCTGTTTCGGCATGCGGTGGCTGGGCATGCGGGCTACATGACCCAGCCATCGCAGCCTTGCCTGCCGGAGGAGCTCACCGATGGGACCCTGCCCAGATCTTTCAAGGATTTGTGAGCTCCTCACACAATCCAGTCTGGTTAAACCCAGGATGGATCGTAGGCAGGCCAGCCTAAATGTTTCTAACCGGCGAAGATGTTCCATTAGGGGGGTCCACGTTTCGCAAGCGTATAGAAGGGAGGGAATGACCGTGGCCGAGAAGACCTGAAGCTTAGTGCGGAGCGACAGACCAGGTAGCTTCCACACAGCGTTACGCAACCGATGAAAAGATATTGCCGCTCGACTGATTCGGAGTGAGACCTCTGCTGTTAAACTGGAGCCAGTCATAAGCACACTGCCCAGGTATGGGAAACTCTCCACTCTCTCTACAACTGCCCCATCACCGATTGGGAGTTGTGGGGGTGGAGTGTCCGATGGTACAAAATACCCAGGCAGGTGCTTAGTTTTGGTGGGGCTGATGGTAAGGCCCCACCTCTTAGTGGCACGCTCCAGTCTCAGCAGCAGCGTCTCCAACTCCTCCTCTGACTGAGCAGCTATTACCAAGTCATCAGCATACATAACGTGGTTGAGCAATCGGGAGCCATCCCTTGACCGCACCCGGGCATCGATTAGCCTCCCATTATATTTGTACCATATGGAGATTCCTCCGGTACAGCTATTGAAGGCTTCACGAACTACGTGGTCAAAATAGATGTTAAATAATGTGGGAGCCAGAGGACATCCCTGTCGCACCCCAAGGTGTACAGGGAATGGCTCTGACTCCCGGCCACGTAGTTTTACCCGGGCCCGCTCACCATCATGAAGGTCCTTAATGATCGTGAGCAGAGGGTCAGGTACTCCAAAAGCACGAAGAACGACCCAGAGCCCAGGCCTACTGATGGTATCATAGGCCTTGACCAGGTCAATAAAGCAGAGATGTAGGTCTTGTTGGAATTCCCTACACCTCTGCTGTAGCAGACGGACAGAAAATATGGCATCTGTGCAGGACCACACACACACACAGGTACACTCACACACACACACAGGTACACACACAAAAACAAAGACAAAGATCCCCCGTATAGCCTGAACAGACTGTAGGGGCAAGTGCTGTTAGCGAGCACCTATGAAGGCCGGAACGGTACACGAGGGGGTGGGTGGCCAGCACCACGCCCGACCGCCTTTGTCTCCCTAGTGGCGATGTTTACTACACACCATGCCAGGTACTCATTTGAGGCTGAGTCGACCTAGGGGAGGCACGGGACCGGTTCAGATAATCGTCACTGGTGTTGGCCGTGAGCGGGAATCGAACCCGGGTCGCCAGGTTCATAGCGCAGCGCGCTAACCGCTACACTACCGCTCCCCACTCACACACACACAGGTACACACACACAGGTACACACACACACACAGGTACACACACACACACACAGGTACACACACACACACACAGGTACACACACACAACAACAACAACAACCGCCATTCGCCACTAAGTGGCGGTGACGTCACCACGACGCTTGTGCCAGGCTATGTGCACCCTGAGGCCACGTGAAGTGTCGAACGCCCGCTGGCAGGAGGTCACGGGGCAGACCCAGGTGCCACGGGTCGACTGACTGAGATGACTGGCTGATGCACCACCTGTGCCCCCTACTGTGCCAACCTGCTGTGCTTTAGCCACCCGGCGCTCCGCTCGCTGTTGTGAGCGTCGCTCCTCCGCCCTCCGTTGTTGTTGGAGGGCGACTGCCTCCAACTGCCCAGTAGCATCCTTCACCAGCCTCCTCCACAGAGGCCGATCTTGACACCGCTGGTACCAGTCATCGGCAAGTCCACTCAGCTCCACGTCCTCCTGTACCACATCACTCCATCTCTTCTCTAGCCCGTGCCGCGCCCGCTTAGCCCCCTCAATCCGGCCAAACAAAAGCTGTTTCGGCATGCGGTGGCTGGGCATGCGGGCTACATGACCCAGCCATCGCAGCCTTGCCTGCCGGAGGAGCTCACCGATGGGACCCTGCCCAGATCTTTCAAGGATTTGTGAGCTCCTCACACAATCCAGTCTGGTTAAACCCAGGATGGATCGTAGGCAGGCCAGCCTAAATGTTTCTAACCGGCGAAGATGTTCCATTAGGGGGGTCCACGTTTCGCAAGCGTAGAGAAGGGAGGGAATGACCGTGGCCGAGAAGACCTGAAGCTTAGTGCGGAGCGACAGACCAGGTAGCTTCCACACAGCGTTACGCAACCGATGAAAAGATATTGCCGCTCGACTGATTCGGAGTGAGACCTCTGCTGTTAAACTGGAGCCAGTCATAAGCACACTACCCAGGTATGGGAAACTCTCCACTCTCTCCACAACTGCCCCATCACCGATTGGGAGTTGTGGGGGTGGAGTGTCCGATGGTACAAAATACCCAGGCAGGTGCTTAGTTTTGGTGGGGCTGATGGTAAGGCCCCACCTCTTAGTGGCACGCTCCAGTCTCAGCAGCAGCGTCTCCAACTCCTCCTCTGACTGAGCAGCTATTACCAAGTCATCAGCATACATAACGTGGTTGAGCAATAGGGAGCCATCCCTTGACCGCACCCGGGCATCGATTAGCCTCCCATTATATCTGTACCATATGGAGATTCCCCCGGTACAGCTATTGAAGGCTTCACGAACTACGTGGTCAAAATAGATGTTAAATAATGTGGGAGCCAGAGGACATCCCTGTCGCACCCCAAGGTGTACAGGGAATGGCTCTGACTCCCGGCCACGTAGTTTTACCCGGGCCCGCTCACCATCATGAAGGTCCTTAATGATCGTGAGCAGAGGGTCAGGTACTCCAAAAGCACGAAGAACGACCCAGAGCCCAGGCCTACTGATGGTATCATAGGCCTTGACCAGGTCAATAAAGCAGAGATGTAGGTCTTGTTGGAATTCCCTACACCTCTGCTGTAGCAGACGGACAGAAAATATGGCATCTGTGCAGGACCGCCCTTTCCTGAAACCGCATTGGGGCTCCGCAAGCCTCTCCTCAGCGTGCCTGGCAAGGCGATGCTGAATAATCCTTGCCAGGACCTTTCCCGGCACACTGAGGAGTGAGATGCCCCTGTAGTTGTTACAGTCTGTGCGGTCCCCCTTCTTAAAAAGGGGGACCACCAGGGCATCCTTCCAATCCTGCGGAACCCGTCCAGTGGTCCAGACTGTTGTTATGATGTCATATAGGGCAGTCTGTGCACAAACACCACCCTCCCTCAGCATTTCGCTTGGGAGATCATCTCTGCCCGCTGCCTTTCCCGGTTTCAGACTCCGGATCGCCTTCAATACTTCCTCAGCAGATGGCACCTCAGCCAGCCACTCACAGGGGGTGACTTCATCCAATATTTGAGGCACCGCAGCCTCAGCAGGGTCATCCTCACTTTGTGCCGCGATGTTTTCCTGGCTGAGGGATTTTCCCTCCCCCAGGACCTCACAGAAATGCTCAGCAAATCTGCGAACCTGTTCCTGGGGGTCGGAAATTGGATCACCGTTTTTTCCCCTAATGATGGTAATAGGTGTGGCGCTGCAGGTTACTTTTTTGATGGAGTTAAATATAGATTTGTGATCACGGGCCACTGAGGCAGACTCCATCTCCTCAGCAACCCGCGACCACCACCCATCCTTGCAGCGCCTCACGGCTCTCCGAACCTCCGAGCGAAGGCTGCGGTAAGCCTCCTCATTCTCTGACGTGGGATTCTGTAGCCGATGACAGTGGGCCTGTCGCTTTTTCTCAACCATCCTGAACAACTCCTCTGTCATCCAGGGTGTCTGGGGAGGTCTGGACCGCGTACCCAAAGCAGCCATTGCAGCTGCATGAGTCACAGTCCTAAACCTCGCCCATTTACCCTCGACATCAGGAGGAGTCGGGGACGATGCCAATCCCAGCCGCAAGCGATGATGAAATTCTCGCTTGCAACTTTCATCAGATAACTGAGACCAGGCCACTTTAGGTTGGAATGGGGTCCTGGGTGTACACCCACCACCGGAGTGGAAGAATGGCAGGCGCATCTTACAGATGACTAGTCGATGGTCAGAGGGCAGATCAGCTCCACGGTAGGTCCTGGTGTCAAGGACATGGGCTCGCATTCGCTGGTCCGTCACTATGTAGTCCAGCAGATGTTCTTGCTTGGACCCGGCATGCATCCATGATGTTGTGTGGATGCGCCGATGCCGGAACAGCGTGTTGGTAATTACAAGCCCATGGGCTGCACAAAAATCTAGCAGCCTCCTACCGTTGTTATTGAGCTGATCTGGCCCATGCCCTCCAATCACTCCAGACCAGGTGCCAGTATCATGACCAACTCGGGCATTGAAGTCACCCAACATGATGACTCTATCCCGAGGGGCCACTTTAGCCAGCACCTGTGACAGGAGGTCATAGAAGGCATCTGACTCATCGGCTTTGCCTGCATCCCTCCACGGATGTTCATCTTCGGTGGGGGCATAAGTAACCACGACCACCATTCCTCGCCTCCGGTTGATGGGAAGGCGAGCCCAAAGTAGCCTGGGGCTTACAGCTTCCCACACCTCACCGCCACGCTCCCACGCCCCCTTCATTCTTTTGTTCAAAAGAAGACCCACACCCTGTTGTTTGGCAGTCTGCTGCCCCGAGTAGAGGACTGTCCACCCCTCATGGTGGCAGGAGCCAGAGCCGGTCCACCGGACCTCCTGAATGCCGCATAGATCCAGGCGGTACCGGTCCAGCTCCCGACAGAGGAGTGGCAGCCTCTCCTCCGCAGTGAGCGTTCAAACATTCCACGTGGCCAACCGTAGTGGCTTTTTGTTGTTTCTGGAGTAGCCCCGAGGGTAGGTATTCAATCTCCTGGCTCCGCCAATTGGGGTTTGGCCAGGAGACGTCATAGACGCCTGGCCCCCCGGGGCCTCCGGCACAAGCTTAGTTGTTACATATTTCAGTTTAATTCGTAGTTTCGTGGTAATTAATTGAAGGTGGAGGGGTTACCAGCCCCTCGCACCCGTCCAGAGCCCCCGTTTAGCCCCTGTGGTGGACACATATGCCATGAGGGGAGGAGCCAATCAAAATTGGATCTCCCCCCACAGCGCTGTCCACGACAGAGTTGCCCGTCCGGCACCGCGAGGAGGTAGGGGGTTGTTTTGCACACACACACACAGGTACACACACACACACACAGGTACACACACACACACACACACAGGTACACACACACAGGTACACACACACAGGTACACACACACACACAGGTAACACGCACACACAGTACACACACACACACAGTACACACACAAAAGTACACACACACAGGTACACACACAGGTACACACACACACACAGGTACACACACACACAGGTACACACACACACAGGTACACACACACACAGGCACACACACAGGTACACACACACACACAGGTACACACACACACACACAGGTACACACACACACACACAGGTACACACACACACACACACAGGTACACACACACACACACAGGTACACACACACACACACAGGTACACACACACACACACACAGGTACACACACACACACACAGGTACACACACACAGGTACACACACACAGGTACACACACACACACACACAGGTACACACACACACACAGGTAACACGCACACACAGTACACACACACACACAGTACACACACAAAAGTACACACACACAGGTACACACACAGGTACACACACACACACAGGTACACACACACACAGGTACACACGCACACAGGTACACACACACACAGGCACACACACAGGTACACACACACACACAGGTACACACACACACACAGGTACACACACACACACACACACAGGTACACACACACACACACACAGGTACACACACACACACACAGGTACACACACACAGGTACACACACACAGGTACACACACACACACACAGGTACACACACACACACACAGGTACACACACACAGTACACACACACACAGTACACACACACACAGGTACACACACACAGTACACACACACACAGGTACACACACACACACACAGGTACACACACACACACACAGGTACACACACACACAGGTACACACACACACAGGTACACACACACACAGGTACACACACACACACAGACACAGGTACACACACACACACACACAGGTACACACACACACACACAGGTACACACACACACAGGTACACACACACACACAGGTACACACACACACACAGGTACACACACACACACACAGGTACACACACACACACAGGTACACACACACACACACACAGGTACACACACACACACACAGTACACACACACACAGTACACACACACACACAGGTACACACACACACAGGCACACACACACAGGCACACACACACAGGTACACACACACACAGGCACACACACACAGGTACACACACACACAGGTACACACACACACACAGGTACACACACACACACACAGGTACACACACACAGGTACACACACACAGGTACACACACACACACACACAGGTACACACACACACACAGGTAACACGCACACACAGGTAACACGCACACACAGTACACACACACACACAGTACACACACAAAAGTACACACACACACACAGTACACACACAAAAGTACACACACACAGGTACACACACAGGTACACACACACACACAGGTACACACACACACAGGTACACACGCACACAGGTACACACACACACAGGCACACACACAGGTACACACACACAGGCACACACACACAGGTACACACACACAGGTACACACACACACACACAGGTACACACACACACACACAGGTACACACACACACACACAGGTACACACACACACACACACAGGTACACACACACACACACAGGTACACACACACACACACAGGTACACACACACAGGTACACACACACAGGTACACACACACAGGTACACACACACAGGTACACACACACACACACAGGTACACACACACAGTACACACACACACAGTACACACACACACAGGTACACACACACAGTACACACACACACAGGTACACACACACACACACAGGTACACACACACACAGGTACACACACACACAGGTACACACACACACACAGACACAGGTACACACACACACACAGGTACACACACACACACACAGGTACACACACACACACACAGGTACACACACACACACACAGGTACACACACACACACACAGGTACACACACACACACAGGTACACACACACACACAGGTACACACACACACACACAGGTACACACACACACACAGGTACACACACACACACACAGGTACACACACACAGGTACACACACACACACACAGGTACACACACACACACAGGTACACACACACAGGTACACACACACAGGTACACACACACACAGGTACACACACACACACACAGGTACACACACACACACACAGGTACACACACACACACAGGTACACACACAGGTACACACACACACACACACAGGTACACACACAGGCACACACACACACACAGGTACACACACACAGGTACACACACACACACACAGGTACACACACACACAGGTACACACACAGGTACACACACAGGTACACACACACACACACAGGTACACACACACACACACACAGGTACACACACACAGACACAGGTACACACACACAGACACAGGTACACACACACACACAGGCACACACACACACACAGGTACACACACACACACAGGTACACACACACACAGGCACACACACACACACACAGGCACACACACACAGGTACACACACACAGGTACACACACACACACAGGTACACACACACACACACAGGTACACACACACACACAGGTACACACACACACACACAGGTACACACACACACACACAGGTACACACACACACACAGGTACACACACACACACAGGTACACACACACAGGTACACACACACACAGGTACACACACACACACACAGGTACACACACACACACACACACAGGTACACACACACACACAGGTACACACACAGGTACACACACACACACACACAGGTACACACACAGGCACACACACACACACAGGTACACACACACAGGTACACACACACACACACAGGTACACACACACACAGGTACACACACAGGTACACACACAGGTACACACACACACACACAGGTACACACACACACACACACAGGTACACACACACAGACACAGGTACACACACACAGACACAGGTACACACACACACACAGTCACACACACACACACAGGTACACACACACACACAGGTACACACACACACAGGCACACACACACACACACAGGCACACACACACAGGTACACACACACAGGTACACACACACACAGGTACACACACACACACACACAGGTACACACACACACACAGGTACACACACACACACAGGTACACAAAGAGAGAGAGAGAGAGATCCCCACCCCCGTCCCACCACCGTGTCGGCAGCACGCCGATGTCGGCACGGTGACCCCCACCCCGACCCCCCTCGCCGCCCCGGCCCGGCACGGAGGAAGCTCCTCACCGGCCAAACTCCCCGGCACGCCGCCGGTGCCGCCGCCGCCGCCGCCGCCGCCGGAAGTCCCCGGCCTCGGGCTTCCGAATCCGGCGGCCAAGAGAGATCTCGGTGGCGGGCGCCGGGAGACTCGGGGGGGGAGGAGGAGCGACGAGGTGGACGACGAGGTGGACGCCGGCGACGCGGACGACGAGGGCAGAGAGTTGGGCCCAAAGTCAGCCGGCAGAGAGCCTCCCGTCAGCCAGTCGACCGTCCCGCCTGCGACAGGGACGGCGGTGTCACCCTCGAACTCAGCCACTCGCTCGGCCGCTCGCCCACCCGCCCGCCCGCTCGCTTGCCCGCCGACTCGCTCATTCACTCACCCGCCCGCTCACCCACTCACCCGCTCGCACACCCACACGCTCACCCACCCACCCGCTCGCTCATTCACTCACCCGCCCGCTCACCCACCCACCCGCTCACCCACTCGCTCACCCACCCACTCGCTCACCCACTCACCCACTCGCTCACCCACTCACCCACCCACTCGCTCACCCACCCGCCCGCTCACCCACCCGCTCGCCCACTCGCTCGCTCACCCACCCACCCGCTCACCCACCCGCTCGCCCGCTCACCCACTCACTCGCTCACCCACCCACCCGCTCACCCATCCGCTCGCTCACCCACCCACTCGCTCGCCAACTCGCTCATTCACTCAATCGCCCGCTCACCCACCCCTCGCCCGCTCACCCACTCACCCACTCGCACACCCACCCACCCACTCGCTCGCCCACCCACTCGCTCACCCACCCGCTCGCTCACCCACTCACCCACCCACTCGCTCACCCACTCACCCACCCACTCGCTCACCCACCCACTCGCTCACCCACCCGCTCGCACACCCACCCACCCGCTCACCCACTCACACATCCATTCACCCACTCACTCACCCACCTGCCCACTCACCCACTGACCCACCCACCCGCCCGCTCACCTCACTCGCTCATTCACTCATTCACCCACCCACCTACCTACTCACTCACCAACCCACTCACCCACCTACTCACCCACCCCACTCACCCACCCACCCACCCACTCACTCGCCCATTAACGCACTCCCTCACACACTAACCCATCCACCCGCCCGCCCACTCGCCTCACTCGCTCATTCACTCATTCGCCCACCCACCTACCTACTCACCCACCTATCCCACTCATCCACCCACCCACTCACTCACCCACCCGCCCACTAACCCACCCACCCGCCCACTCACTCACCAATTCACCCAATAAATCAATCATCAATCTAGCTATCATTTGCCCTAGCCAGGATAGCTTCTGTAACAAGAGCTGCTCCACAGCAGCTTAGTGAGGCCCTTACAGCCTGCTACAAAAAACACATTCTCCTGCGGAGAGAGGAGCTGGTAGCAACGTTGGGTTGCTCGGTCAATGGCCATGGTCAATGGCCAGGGTCAATGGCCAGGGTCAATGGCCAGGGTCAATGGCCAGGGTCAATGGCCAGGGTCAATGGCCAGGGTCAATGGCCAGGGTCAATGGCCAGGGTCAATGGTCAGGGTCAATGGCCAGGGTCAATGGCCAGGGTCAATGGCCAGGGTCAATGGCCAGGGTCAATGGCCAGGGTCAATGGCAAGGGTCAATGGCCAGGGTCAATGGCAAGGGTCAATGGCCAGGGTCAATGGCCAGGGTCAATGGCCAGGGTCAATGGCCAGGGTCAATGGCCAGGGTCAATGGCCAGGGTCAATGGCCAGGGTCAATGGCCAGGGTCAATGGCCAGGTTCAATGGCCAGGGTCAATGGCCAGGGTCAATGGCCAGGGTCAATGGCCAGGGTCAATGGCCAGGGTCAATGGCCAGGGTCAATGGCCAGGGTCAATGGCCAGGGTCAATGGCCAGGGTCAATGGCCAGGGTCAATGGCCAGGGTCAATGGCTAGGGTCAATGGCCAGGGTCAATGGCCAGGGTCAATGGCCAGGGTCAATGGCCAGGGTCAATGGCCAGGGTCAATGGCTAGGGTCAATGGCCAGGGTCAATGGCCAGGGTCAATGGCCAGGGTCAATGGCCAGGGTCAATGGCCAGGGTCAATGGCCAGGGTCAATGGCCAGGGTCAATGGCCAGGGTCAATGGCCAGGGTCAATGGCCAGGGTCAACAACGGAGGCACCACCACGTGGTGTATTCCACACAATATGCCCGACTGTGAGGGCGGGCACAAGCCGGCGCGAGTTAAACGTTGAGTTTTATAAGGGCACCACGGGGTGACCAGCCCCTCAACACCCAGCCCTACCCCTCCCACCCAGCCCCACCCCTCCCACCCAGCCCCACCCCTCCCCTTTATGAATGCACCAACAGACAGACACAATGATCCCCTGTGGGCTACTGCTACTGCTGCTGCTGCTACTGCTGGTGCTGGTGGTGCTGCTGCTACTGCTGCTGCTACTGCTGCTGCTGCTACTGCTGCTGCTGCTACTGCTGCTGGTGCTGGTGGTGCTGGTGCTGCTGCTGCTGCTACTGCTGCTGCTACTGCTGCTGCTACTGCTGCTACTGCTGCTGCTACTGCTATTACTGCTGCTGCTGCTGGTGCTACTGATGCTGCTACTGCTACTGCTGCTACTGCTGCTGCTGCTACTGCTGCTACTACTACTGCTGCTACTGCTACTGCTGCTACTACTACTACTGCTGCTACTGCTGCTACTACTACTACTGCTGCTACTGCTGCTGCTGCTACTGCTGCTACTGCTGCTGCTACTGCTGCTGCTACTGCTGCTGCTGCTACTACTGCTGCTGCTGCTACTGGTGGTGTAACCAACCGGGAGGTTCCTACGGAGCACGAATAAACAATTTGGTGCACCTTGACTTAAATCGTTCGTGACTGCAGGAATTCAGATTCTCCCGGGGGCCTGTCGGTCCAAGTCACGTGGACAAAGCAAAGGATGATGATGATAATAATAATAATAAATAAACAACAGTCCTGCGCACGGTCCGATAGCAACACACGCCATCGTCATCAGGTGAAAAACTCAGCCAGAGTGCGGCTGCTCAGAACCCGCTATAGTTTGTTTTTTTCCACCCGACGCCGACCGCTTGCGTTGCTATCGAAACGTCCGCGATAACGTTATATATATTTTAATTATTATTATAATTATTATTATTACTTGCTCCATCTAGGCGGCTTCACCCAACGACCCGGAGAATATAATTATTCGGGTAGTCGAACACACAGCGCTCGCCCCTGACCAGTCTATACAAAGTTTTCGATTTAAAAGCTGTCGCGACTGCAAGGATTCATCTTCTTCGGTCCTTTCGGTAAAAGCCACCGCCACGCAGAACGCCGATAAAATAAGAAACCGATGGAACAGAGGAACGCGGTAGAATTCCCACGACGTTTCAGCCACAGCACAAGCGGCCTTCATCAGGCGAAGGGACGAGAGCGTCCGGAGGACAGCGCTGTACAAGTTTTGCGTTAAGCCGCCGCCGCTGCCGCCGCCGGCTGACATCACACCTGCTTCCTGGGTGAGACTGAACTCCGCCTGGATTGGCGTGGCCCTCACTCTGCCACCAGCGGCGGCGGCGGACGGACGCTGCTGTCCCTGGGCGGTGGCGGCGGAGGCGGTGGAGGCGGCGGTGGCGGCGGAGGCGGTGGAGGCGGCGGTGGCGGCGGAGGCGGTGGAGGCGGTGGTGGCGGCGGAGGCGGTGGTGGCGCTGCCCTGAGTCTCGACAAAGAGTGGCGTCTGCATGGAGTGGCTCCGCTTCCAGCTGGAGTCGATGGTGTAGTCCTAGGGGGTTACACGGGAGGGAGGGGTGGGGGCAGGGGTGGGGGCAGGGGTGGGGGGCAGGAGTGGGGGCAGGGGTGGGGTCAAAGTGTGAGTGTGAGTGAGTCAGGGGGTGAGTGTGAGGGTGAGTGTGAGGGTGAGTGTGAGGGTGAGTGTGAGTGAGTCAGGAGGTGAGGGTGAGTGTGAGTGAGTCAGGGGGTGAGTGTGAGGGTGAGTGTGAGGGTGAGTGAGTGAGTCAGGGGGTGAGGGTGAGTGTGATGGTGAGTGTGATGGTGAGTGTGATGGTGAGTGTGAGTGTGATGGTGAGTGTGATGGTGAGTGTGAGTGTGATGGTGAGTGTGATGGTGAGTGTGATGGTGAGTGTGATGGTGAGTGTGATGGTGAGTGTGAGTGTGATGGTGAGTGTGAGTGTGATGGTGAGTGTGAGTGTGATGGTGAGTGTGAGTGTGATGGTGAGTGTGATGGTGAGTGTGAGTGTGATGGTGAGTGTGATGGTGAGTGTGAGTGTGATGGTGAGTGTGATGGTGAGTGTGATGGTGAGTGTGATGGTGAGTGTGATGCTGAGTGTGATGGTGAGTGTGATGCTGAGTGTGATGCTGAGTGTGATGCTGAGTGTGATGGTGAGTGTGTGTGTGTGAGTGTGATGGTGAGTGTGATGGTGAGTGTGATGGTGAGTGTGATGGTGAGTGTGATGGTGAGTGTGATGGTGAGTGTGAGTGTGATGGTGAGTGTGATGGTGAGTGTGATGGTGAGTGTGATGGTGAGTGTGATGGTGAGTGTGTGTGAGTGTGATGGTGAGTGTGATGGTGAGTGTGATGGTGTGATGGTGAGTGTGATGGTGAGTGTGATGGTGAGTGTGATGGTGAGTGTGATGGTGAGTGTGAGTGTGATGGTGTGAGTGTGATGGTGAGTGTGATGGTGAGTGTGATGGTGAGTGTGAGTGTGATGGTGAGTGTGATGGTGAGTGTGATGGTGAGTGTGATGGTGTGAGTGAGTGTGATGGTGAGTGTGATGGTGAGTGTGATGGTGAGTGTGATGGTGAGTGTGTGTGAGTGAGTGTGATGGTGAGTGTGATGGTGAGTGTGATGGTGAGTGAGTGTGATGGTGAGTGTGTGAGTGTGAGTGTGTGAGTGTGTGAGTGTGATGGTGAGTGTGATGGTGAGTGTGAGTGTGATGGTGAGTGTGATGGTGAGTATGATGGTGAGTGAGTGTGATGGTGAGTGTGATGGTGAGTATGATGGTGAGTGTGATGGTGAGTGAGTGCGATGGTGAGTGTGATGGTGAGTGTGATGGTGAGTGTGATGGTGAGTGAGTGCGATGGTGAGTGTGATGGTGAGTGTGATGGTGAGTGTGATGGTGAGTGTGATGGTGAGTGTGATGGTGAGTGAGTGTGATGGTGAGTGAGTGTGATGGTGAGTGTGATGGTGAGTGTGATGGTGAGTGTGTGTGTGAGTGTGATGGTGAGTGTGATGGTGAGTGTGTGTGTGAGTGTGATGGTGAGTGTGATGGTGAGTGTGAGTGTGATGGTGAGTGGTGTGAGTGTGATGGTGAGTGTGATGGTGAGTGTGATGGTGAGTGTGATGGTGAGTGTGATGGTGAGTGAGTGTGATGGTGAGTGTGAGTGTGATGGTGAGTGTGATGGTGAGTGTGATGGTGAGTGTGTGTGAGTGTGATGGTGAGTGTGATGGTGAGTGTGATGGTGAGTGAGTGTGATGGTGAGTGTGAGTGTGATGGTGAGTGTGATGGTGAGTGTGATGGTGAGTGGTGTGTGTGAGTGAGTGTGATGGTGAGTGTGATGGTGAGTGTGAGTGAGTGTGTGAGTGTCACCGTGAACACGCAGTGCCCCAGCGGGTGAAGGAAGAGTGGGCGTGTGTAGTCGGGGCTGAGCGAGCTACGCTGTAGCAGGGCGTGAGTGTGAGTGTGATGGTGAGTGTGATGGTGAGTGTGATGGTGAGTGTGATGGTGAGTGTGATGGTGAGTGTGATGGTGAGTGTGTGAGTGTGTGTGTGAGAGTGTGAGTGTCACCGTGAACACGCAGTGCCCCAGCGGGTGAAGGAAGAGTGGGCGTGTGTAGTCGGGGCTGAGCGAGCTACGCTGTAGCAGGGCGTGAGTGTGATGGTGAGTGTGATGGTGAGTGAGTGTGTGAGTGTCACCGTGAACACACAGTGCCCCAGCGGGTGAAGGAAGAGTGGGCGTGTGTAGTCCGGGCTGAGCGAGCTACGCTGTAGCAGGGCGTGAGTGTGAGTGTGATGGTGAGTGTGATGGTGAGTGTGATGGTGAGTGTGAGTGAGTGTGATGGTGAGTGTGAGTGTGTGAGTGTGATGGTGAGTGTGATGGTGAGTGTGATGGTGAGTGTGATGGTGAGTGTGTGTGATGGTGAGTGTGATGGTGAGTGTGTGTGTGAGTGTGTGTGTGAGTGTGATGGTGAGTGTGTGTGTGAGTGTCACCGTGAACACGCAGTGCCCCAGCGGGTGAAGGAAGAGTGGGCGTGTGTAGTCCGGGCTGAGCGAGCTACGCTGTAGCAGGGCGTGAGTGTGATGGTGAGTGTGATGGTGAGTGTGATGGTGAGTGTGATGGTGAGTGTGTGTGATGGTGAGTGTGATGGTGAGTGTGTGTGTGAGTGTGATGGTGAGTGTGATGGTGAGTGTGTGTGTGAGTGTCACCGTGAACACGCAGTGCCCCAGCGGGTGAAGGAAGAGTGGGCGTGTGTAGTCGGGGCTGAGCGAGCTACGCTGTAGCAGGGCGTGAGTGTGAGTGTGATGGTGAGTGTGATGGTGAGTGTGATGGTGAGTGTGAGTGTGTGTGTGAGTGTGTGAGTGTGATGGTGAGTGTGTGTGTGAGTGTGAGTGATGGTGAGTGTGATGGTGAGTGTGATGCTGAGTGGTGTGAGTGTGTGTGTGAGTGTCACCGTGAACACGCAGTGCCCCAGCGGGTGAAGGAAGAGTGGGCGTGTGTAGTCGGGGCTGAGCGAGCTACGCTGTAGCAGGGCGTGAGTGTGAGTGTGATGGTGAGTGTGATGGTGAGTGAGTGTGTGAGTGTGTGAGTGTGATGGTGAGTGTGTGTGTGAGTGTGATGGTGAGTGTGATGGTGAGTGTGATGGTGAGTATGATGGTGAGTGAGTGTGATGGTGAGTGTGTGTGAGTGTGATGGTGAGTGTGATGGTGATGGTGAGTGTGTGTGATGGTGAGTGTGAGTGTGTGATGGTGTGAGTGTCACCGTGAACACGCAGTGCCCCAGCGGGTGAAGGAAGAGTGGGCGTGTGTAGTCGGGGCTGAGCGAGCTACGCTGTAGCAGGGCGTGAGTGTGAGTGTGATGGTGAGTGTGATGGTGAGTGTGTGTGTGAGTGTGATGGTGAGTGTGATGGTGAGTGTGTGAGTGTCACCGTGAACACGCAGTGCCCCAGCGGGTGAAGGAAGAGTGGCCGTGTGTAGTCGGGGCTGAGCGAGCTACGCTGTAGCAGGGCGTGAGTGTGAGTGTGATGGTGAGTGTGATGGTGAGTGTGATGGTGAGTGTGATGGTGAGTGTGATGGTGAGTGTGATGGTGAGTGTGTGAGTGTCACCGTGAACACGCAGTGCCCCAGCGGGTGAAGGAAGAGTGGGCGTGTGTAGTCGGGGCTGAGCGAGCTACGCTGTAGCAGGGCGTGAGTGTGATGGTGAGTGTGATGGTGAGTGGTGTGAGTGTGATGGTGATGGTGTGAGTGTCACCGTGAACACGCAGTGCCCCAGCGGGTGAAGGAAGAGTGGCCGTGTGTAGTCGGGGCTGAGCGAGCTACGCTGTAGCAGGGCGTGAGTGTGAGTGTGTGAGTGTGTGAGTGTCACCGTGAACACACAGTGCCCCAGCGGGTGAAGGAAGAGTGGCCGTGTGTAGTCGGGGCTGAGCGAGCTACGCTGTAGCAGGGCGTGAGTGTGATGGTGAGTGTGATGGTGAGTGTGTGTGTGAGTGTGTGTGATGGTGATGGTGAGTGTGTGTGTGTGATGGTGTGATGGTGAGTGTGTGAGTGAGTGTGTGAGTGTGTGATGGTGAGTGTGTGAGTGTGATGGTGTGAGTGTCACCGTGAACACGCAGTGCCCCAGCGGGTGAAGGAAGAGTGGGCGTGTGTAGTCGGGGCTGAGCGAGCTACGCTGTAGCAGGGCGTGAGTGTGAGTGTGATGGTGAGTGTGATGGTGAGTGTGAGTGTGATGGTGTGAGTGTCACCGTGAACACGCAGTGCCCCAGCGGGTGAAGGAAGAGTGGGCGTGTGTAGTCGGGGCTGAGCGAGCTACGCTGTAGCAGGGCGTGAGTGTGAGTGTGATGGTGAGTGTGATGGTGAGTGTGATGGTGAGTGTGATGGTGAGTGTGATGGTGAGTGTGATGGTGAGTGTGTGAGTGTCACCGTGAACACGCAGTGCCCCAGCGGGTGAAGGAAGAGTGGCCGTGTGTAGTCGGGGCTGAGCGAGCTACGCTGTAGCAGGGCGTGAGTGTGATGGTGAGTGTGATGGTGAGTGTGATGGTGAGTGTGATGGTGAGTGTGATGGTGAGTGTGATGGTGTGAGTGTCACCGTGAACACACAGTGCCCCAGCGGGTGAAGGAAGAGTGGGCGTGTGTAGTCGGGGCTGAGCGAGCTACGCTGTAGCAGGGCGTGAGTGTGATGGTGAGTGTGATGGTGAGTGTGTGTGTGAGTGTGATGGTGAGTGTGTGTGTGATGGTGAGTGTGATGGTGTGAGTGTCACCGTGAACACGCAGTGCCCCAGCGGGTGAAGGAAGAGTGGGCGTGTGTAGTCCGGGCTGAGCGAGCTACGCTGTAGCAGGGCGTGAGTGTGAGTGTGATGGTGAGTGTGTGTGTGAGTGTGTGTGATGGTGATGGTGAGTGTGTGTGTGTGATGGTGTGAGTGTCACCGTGAACACGCAGTGCCCCAGCGGGTGAAGGAAGAGTGGCCGTGTGTAGTCGGGGCTGAGCGAGCTACGCTGTAGCAGGGCGTGAGTGTGATGGTGTGATGGTGAGTGTGTGAGTGTGTGAGTGTGATGGTGAGTGTGATGGTGAGTGTGATGGTGTGTGAGTGTGTGTGATGGTGATGGTGAGTGTGAGTGTGTGATGGTGTGAGTGTCACCGTGAACACACAGTGCCCCAGCGGGTGAAGGAAGAGTGGCCGTGTGTAGTCGGGGCTGAGCGAGCTACGCTGTAGCAGGGCGTGAGTGTGATGGTGAGTGTGATGGTGAGTGTGATGGTGAGTGATGGTGATGTGTGATGGTGAGTGTGTGTGATGGTGAGTGTGTGTGAGTGAGTGTGAGAGTGTCACCGTGAACACGCAGTGCCCCAGCGGGTGAAGGAAGAGTGGCCGTGTGTAGTCGGGGCTGAGCGAGCTACGCTGTAGCAGGGCGTGAGTGTGAGTGTGATGGTGAGTGTGTGTGTGAGTGTGTGTGTGTGATGGTGAGTGTGTGTGTGTGATGGTGTGAGTGTCACCGTGAACACGCAGTGCCCCAGCGGGTGAAGGAAGAGTGGCCGTGTGTAGTCGGGGCTGAGCGAGCTACGCTGTAGCAGGGCGTGAGTGTGAGTGTGATGGTGAGTGTGATGGTGAGTGTGTGAGTCAGGGGGTGAGTGTGATGGTGAGTGTGTGAGTGTCACCGTGAACACGCAGTGCCCCAGCGGGTGAAGGAAGAGTGGGCGTGTGTAGTCGGGGCTGAGCGAGCTACGCTGTAGCAGGGCGTGAGTGTGAGTGTGATGGTGAGTGTGATGGTGAGTGTGATGGTGAGTGTGTGTGTGAGTGTGAGTGTGTGAGTGTGTGAGTGTCACCGTGAACACGCAGTGCCCCAGCGGGTGAAGGAAGAGTGGCCGTGTGTAGTCGGGGCTGAGCGAGCTACGCTGTAGCAGGGCGTGAGTGTGAGTGTGATGGTGAGTGTGTGTGTGAGTGTGTGTGTGTGATGGTGAGTGTGTGTGTGTGATGGTGTGAGTGTCACCGTGAACACGCAGTGCCCCAGCGGGTGAAGGAAGAGTGGCCGTGTGTAGTCGGGGCTGAGCGAGCTACGCTGTAGCAGGGCGTGAGTGTGAGTGTGATGGTGAGTGTGATGGTGAGTGTGTGTGTGATGGTGTGAGAGTGTCACCGTGAACACGCAGTGCCCCAGCGGGTGAAGGAAGAGTGGCCGTGTGTAGTCGGGGCTGAGCGAGCTACGCTGTAGCAGGGCGTGAGTGTGAGTGTGATGGTGAGTGTGATGGTGTGTGTGATGGTGAGTGTGTGTGAGTGTGATGGTGAGTGTGTGTGTGTGTGATGGTGAGTGTGAGTGTGTGTGTGAGTGTGTGAGTGTGATGGTGAGTGTGTGTGTGAGTGTGAGTGATGGTGAGTGTGATGGTGAGTGTGATGCTGAGTGGTGTGAGTGAGTGTGTGAGTGTCACCGTGAACACGCAGTGCCCCAGCGGGTGAAGGAAGAGTGGGCGTGTGTAGTCGGGGCTGAGCGAGCTACGCTGTAGCAGGGCGTGAGTGTGAGTGTGATGGTGAGTGTGTGTGTGTGAGTGTGATGGTGTGAGTGTGATGGTGAGTGTGATGGTGAGTGTGATGGTGAGTGTGTGAGTGTCACCGTGAACACGCAGTGCCCCAGCGGGTGAAGGAAGAGTGGCCGTGTGTAGTCGGGGCTGAGCGAGCTACGCTGTAGCAGGGCGTGAGTGTGATGGTGAGTGTGATGGTGAGTGTGTGAGTGTGATGGTGAGTGTGATGGTGAGTGTGATGGTGAGTGTGTGAGTGTCACCGTGAACACGCAGTGCCCCAGCGGGTGAAGGAAGAGTGGCCGTGTGTAGTCGGGGCTGAGCGAGCTACGCTGTAGCAGGGCGTGAGTGTGATGGTGATGGTGAGTGTGATGGTGAGTGTGTGTGAGTGAGTGTGAGAGTGTCACCGTGAACACGCAGTGCCCCAGCGGGTGAAGGAAGAGTGGCCGTGTGTAGTCGGGGCTGAGCGAGCTACGCTGTAGCAGGGCGTGAGTGTGAGTGTGATGGTGAGTGTGATGGTGTG